ATTATTATTATTTTTAAAAATATTTTATTGATTTTGTACAGAGAGGGAGAGAGATAGAAAGCTAGAAACATCGATGAGAGAGAGTCATCGATCAGCTGCCTCTTGCACACCCCCTACTGGGGATATGCCCACAACCAAGGTACATGCCCTTGACCGGAATCGAACCCGGGTCCCTTCAGTCCCCAAGCCGACGCTCTATCCATTGAGCCAAACCAGTCTCGGCCAAATATAATATTATTGACTGAATGAGAGTAAATCCTACCTACCAAGATCATCAATGACCTCACTAAATTCTAACCACCTTGAGATGCAAGGGCATAAAAAAATAGAGAAACTCAGCACTTCTCACTTTAAAGAATTTTTTAGAGTAACTCCCTAGCATAGTGGTCAGCAAACTGTGTGGCTTGTGAGCCACATGTGGCTCTTTGGCCCCTTGAATGTAGCTCTTCTACAAAATACCACGTGCAGGCGTGCATATACAGTGCGATTGAAACTTCGTGGCCCATGCGCAGAAGTGTTTTCGGCCTGGGCTAGCCTACTTTGAAGAAGTGGTATTAGAATACTCAAGGGGCCAAAGTGCCACATGTGCTTCGAGAGCCGCAGTTTGCCGACTACTGCCCTAGCATGTTGAATTTCAAGGACTCACTGACAGGCACATTGTAGGGAATTGCAAAGGAACTCTCATATGGTGATAGTGTACATAAGGAATTCCTATCAGGTATCTATAATAATAAAAGTGTAATATACTAATTAGACCGGACAGCCAGCCAGGGCTTCGAGGAAAGCTGCTGCGGCTGCAAGAATTTTGTGAATCGGGCCTCTAGTCGTCTATATATATTAAAGCCTAAGTGACCAAATGACTGGTCGACCAGTCGCTATGACACACACTGACCACCAGGGGCAGACACTCAAAGCAGGAGTTGGCCCCTGGTGGTCAGTTCACTCCCACAGCAGAAGCACTACTCAGCTGATCAACCCAGCCCGGCAGCAGCCACTCCCTCCCTCAGTAGTCCTGCAGGTCCAATCTCTGGATAATGGGCCGGGCACCGAAGGACCAGCACCACTGGCATGATCCCAACAGTGCCACCACCTCCTAGAAGGCAGCCTTGGGCCCCATGGCTGCTTCATCTCCCTAGACGCAGCCCAAGGAAAAAATGATATAAAAGAGGCCTCCTGGCAACCAGCGTGAATGTCAGGACAGATCCGGATCCCAGACTGGCAAGGGCCCTGCCCAGAGGACAGACTGCATCCCAGGCCCCCAACTCCCCAATGGGATGGGTGCCAGATGCAAGGCTCAGGGCTGGTGAGTGCTGCTGTGGTGGTGTGAGCCTCTCCCTATGGGGATTGACTGGGCACAAGCCCACAGCAGGCACAGCAGGGTTGGGATGAGTGGGAGCAGCAGGCAGGGGCTGCAGGCAGTGTTGGACTGTATCAGCCCAATCCCCACAGGCCACCCTGAGGGGGCCCATCTGTGTGCAAATTCATGCACCAGGCCCCTCGTCTATATATATAAAGGTCTAAGCAACCATTTGACTGGTAGCTGTGACATGCACTGGCCACCAGGGGGCAGATGCTCAACAAACAGGGAACATGGAACAGACTGATGAATCTCAGAGGGAATGGGGGAGGGCAGGGAGAGATTAACTAAAGATCTTATCTGGGAATCGGGCCAAAACTGGCAGTCCGACATCCCCTGAGGGGGTCCAGATTGCAAGAGGGTGCAGGCCAGGCCGAGGGATCCCACCAGGGCACAAATTCATGCACCAGGCCTCTAGTTATCCAAGAAATTGGGTGACTTAAAAACAAACAAAAAGGGAATGCTTGCCTATACAGAGCACCTTTATGCAATGCAAATAATTTGCAGTAGCTTATTAACGGTGAGCGCTAAGTAAATATGTTTATCCCCGAATGCTGAGGGACCAGCAGCGTGGTGGGATGAGTCCTCATTGAAGAGAGCTGGGAACTCTTGGGGGAGGGGAAATTCAAGCTGGGCTTTGATGAATGAGACTTCTAAAAGCAGAGCAATAAAATGTGCGTGTGGTGAGGGAGACAGGCAGTCGATCAGGGACGTGAAACGGTTTTGAATCTAGAAACAAAGGTTGAATCTTTGGCGGAGGCCCTGGTATGTCAGATTCAAAGTACAGTACTGGGGAAACCAAGGAAGATGTTTGAGGAAAGGACAGAAGGAGTTGAGGCTGGCATCAACAAAAGATACGTCAAATACATTTTTCTGTTCTAATGAACCAATGTAACTCCAAACAATTGGTGACTATGGTAATTCATTTTGCAAACTCCACTGACTGAAAGCTTTTCAATGACGTCGCATTGTTCTTACAACAAAGACCCAATCCTTTATCATAACCCACATGATCCATAGAATTCAGCCTATACGTTCTGCTCCCACCACACTGGCTTATTCGAAGTTCTCCTCCCTCCACAGGGCTTGTGTACCTGCTTCCATATGCCTGGACAGGTGCCGCCCTCCTCTTTGCCTACTTAAATCCTCTTCCTTCAGATCACAGCTTAGGCATTCCATCCCGAGGGAAACTCCAATCTCCCCATTTCTATCGCGGCACTGCAAATTTCTCCATCACAGCGCTTAGCTGCGGGATCAATCCCCAACAGAGGGCATGCAGGAGGCAGCCTATCAATGATTCTCATCATTGATATTTCTCTCTTTCCCTCTCCCTTCCTCTCTGAAATTAATAAAAATATTTTAAAAAATAAAAAATGAAAGTTCGCCTGGAGATCCACATATAGTGTCACCATCCACTTACTCAAGAAACCTGTTTCTTGTCTTCTCCTTCCTTTAGGCCTCACATTCACTTTAGCACCAGGAAGTCCTGTTTATAAACTCCATACGGGTAGAATTTTCTGTTTATTCGCTATAGTATCCCTGGTGGCTTAGAATAGGACCTGGCACACATGAGATGCTTAATTAATACTTTTTTTTTTTTGAATAAAAGAATCCATGTTGCCCTTGAAAATAACACCTTTAAGAGAAAACAAATTTAAAGCTCTCATTTGAGAATTTGTTAATATTTGCACTAGTTTTTTAAAAAATGTAGACTATGGGAGTTTCATTTGCCATTCCAGTTGCTAAAACACATTAAGGCTAAATTCTCAAAGGGAGACAGGTATGCTATGCTGCCAGAATATATAGAAGTAGAATGTAATAATTTTATTCAAGTTTTGCTCTTGTTATCTGATCCACAAATATTTAAAAGATATTTTATTTTATAAAAATTTACACCTGCAAGTAATGAATTGACCGTAACAGAGGGTTTAACCTGGAATACAGGATATGCTGAGGGGGCCTATAAACCCCTAAATTATATGCAAATCTAACATGTATATTGGCATGTGTGTCTTTTTGGTGAGAGAGTTCATAGGTAATCAGATTTCCAAAGAAGTCTATGACCCGAGAGGTTTAAAAAATTACTTAACTATAAACAGTCACAAAGTCTTTTAAACATGAATCTGTACAATAAAATAACATCCAACAGCTCCATCTATGGGTAGGTCATCATCACCTACCAGAAATGATGACAGCTACCAGAGATCAGTGCATCTTGTGAATGCTTGTGTTTAAATCATGTCACTCTAGTGGGAATTTATTAACTATAGTATCACAGTTTTTCTTTCCAGATATAGATGCAAAAATCAGGAGACTGTTGATGAGTTCTACTTACAGTACTTCAGCACCAAAAAATTGGGCAGTTATGCTGATATATGTATGTACAGTTCAACATTTGTCAGTCTTAAAACGCTCATTTATAGTGAAATCTATATAAAACCGTTAAAAACATTTCTATTTACATTTTTAAAAAATGAAAAGTACAATTTCCTTTGCCACAACTTGTCAAAACTGCCTTATCCTCCCACCCTCTTACCCCTCACTCTGCTTGCGACAGTGGTCACAAGACCCAAACATATTGCTTAAACAAACTATGTCCTAAAAAGGTAGAATGCTTAAAAATATTACATTTAGAACTGTAAATGAACCTTTTATACATTTCAAAGGGGGGGTTAAACAAAAGTATGTAAAAGATTTTTCAAAGTCTCAGTCCAACATGAATGTGCAATTTCAATGTAAAGATAGCAACATATGAACAATCTGTTTTCCTGAACAAAACTGAACATTTCCTTTGGGTCAGAAAATGTTTTTTTCCTCAGCTTCACAATGAAACATTTTCTTGCAAGTTTTCTTAAAGTGAGGAGAGGGGAGGTGGAAATGCAGGCAATCCTGGTTCACAGGAAATTTGTCAGAAGGAACACAGTCTGCTTTAAAATGTTTACATTTAAATAAATAGAAGGCAAGTGTGCTGGCCGGGAGCACAAAGGAACAACAACACAATAAATTAGCATACAATTGGTAAGAATGTACAAACCACCAGAAAAGCACTTCCCACTGGTTAGGCATCTGACTTTTCATCATCCAACAAGGACTCTCTAATGCCAGTATTTTTCTAGTTATTTTATAAACTATGATCTGAGCAAATGTAAGATGTTGAATTGGTTAATTCAACCCTTCCAGGGATTTGCAAAAACATACAAGATTAAAGGGGGGAAAAACTGTTCCTGTCACACTGTTTCAAAGTACAAACTATTCACATTCTCTTTTCTTGATGGTGTTTTGCTCAGAAGAAGCCAGCAGAGGAACATTCACAGAAAAGAGTCTCTTTCCACTGCAGGGTAAGCTTTCCCATCAGCCACGGTCCAACAGAGGAAGAATACCAGGTCTCCTGCCCGGTAGATGTGCATCTCTTTTTCTTTTCTCTCTTTCCTTTTTTCTTTCTTTTCTCTTTTCAAAAGTACATTCCCTGTTTTATTTTGCTTTAAAATGCTTCTCCTGCAGCATTTCTTGTTGAAACACGGCTGCTGCGGGATCTATAGCCTAAACATGGGCAAAGTGCTCTCTTTACACATCAAAATACAAGGGCTTCCCTGGACCCTTGGTAACCAAGAAGGTTTTAAAGTGCACTCCTGTGTCCGAAACACTAGGATCGTTCAGCAGAACTCTGAGAGGGACTGGGCTCAGTTCCATCCTCTGTGCTACTGTCTATGTCCTGCTCCATTGCTGTTTCCTCGTCATCCAACTGCTGGCTGGTGAAGTTGTTTAGCTCAAGGAGCCCGCTGGGCTCTACCACCACATTGGAGCTGGAGTGACAAGGAATAGCATACTGGGGAATGGCCTGGAAGAGAAGACACAGGACAGAAGCTTTATGGAAAGCAAAGGTAATAAAGATTATCCAACAACCCTAAAGAAGGAAAAAGGAATCCAACATTTATTAGACAATTACTACACGCTGGACACTGTGCTAGGTACTTTCACATGATATTCTACTAAGTCCCCATCATAACACTATAAGGAAAATACTATTCCCATTTTACAAATGAGGAAACTAAGAGGGTCAGTGACTTAATCAAGGTCAGAATTCAAAGCCAAGTCCTATTAAACTCAAAGTAATCCTCTTACTCCTTGACGGTTCCTCTTCTAACAAAGGAGGATGAAAGCTGTGCCTAATTCAAGAGACAGACTTTGAAGGATATTTTCATTTGATCATTAAGCACATTTTAAATATATATGTAGTCAGATTTTTTGTTTGTCTTCCCGCCCCCCCCCCCTTTCTCCCTGCCCCCCTTTCACATAGCCTTGTGAAAAAGTCTCAGAGTCAGGAGACCAGGATTTTTGTTCAGCTTTAGCTCTAACTGTGGACCTCTGAAAAATCAGTTCATTTCCTTGAGCTTTTATGCAGAAGTTTGCTTTTGTGTAAAATAAGATAGCTGAAGAAGAGATATTCTAAAGATCCTTACAGTTTTAAAATTCTATGAATTCCACATATACAGATCTTTCAGGGTAGCAGATATACTCTATCTTGTTTACTATTCTAATCTCAGCACCTAGCACAGTGCCTGGAACAGAGTTAAATAATACATGTGGAATGTATGAACAAACGAATGAATGAATGAACGAATGAATAAACAAACTATACATTACCTCTGTCTACAAAGAATCATGCTTTTCATTCAAAGCATTTACTATCAGAGCATTTTTGCAGACTTCCTTCACTCATCCCCATAGGTATTTTTCTGAATCAGTAAAATCAGTATTGTACTTCAGGTCAAAGCTGAGTATAATTAATAAGATGTGAAAATGTTCTAGCAATGTATTAATGATAATTATAATAACATAAGCTATTTTTATTGAATCTATCAGAAACTTGACCAGCTGCTTTATATACATCTTCTCACCTAATCCTCAAAACAACACGGTGAGGCGAATGTCATTGTTTCCATTTCATGGATGATAAAACTGAGGTTAACTTTGTCGCTCAAAACCAAAATGCTGACAAGGAGTACAGGTGACATTCAAATCTAGATATTTCTGACTCTAAAAGCTTGATTCTTAATCACTATGCTGTTCTTCCCTCTGATACATGCTAAAAGTTAGCTGAGTATTCTGAAGAGAAGCTACTAAATAGCTATTATCCTGATACATGCAATAGACTGCATTTTCATCCCTGTTCAGAAAGTGCAGAAAATAATCTCCAATTAAGCCATCCAAAATGATTTTCAATTTAGTGAGTATACCAATTTAACCCCCCAGAAGCCATAATCAATTTTAGCAAAAATAGTATTAGCTACAATTTATTGGGCAATCACTGTGAGCCAGGTACTGTGCCAGGGGCTTCATCTCAATTTTATGTAATCCTTACATCAACCATGTAAAGGAGGCGTACTTAGTCCCGCTTCACTGATGGGGAGACTAAGGCACAGTGAGGTTAAGTAGCCTTGCCCAAAATCACACGACAAATGGCAAAGCCAGGAAAACATTCCTTTTTCACTATACGTCTTCGGAGAAAAACAATAACAAATTCCTTTCAAAGATTATTTAATTCATTAACATTTCTTTTTAATGGGGGGGAGGAAACAAGATATTTAAATAATTCAATGGCCAGTTCAATTTGCCTTTAAGCATTTTCCCATGCTTAAATTATATCATATTTGGATAATACTGGTTAATTTGCATTCTCTCGGAGCTTGGTACCATGGAAAAGTTTACCACAGGAACTGCCAAGTGTGAATCTACAGTAAAATCCTAGACCATTCACATTTCATAAATCTAAAAATTCTCATTAATTAAAATTGTTGCTCTGATACCTTCTGAGACAAGTATCAGTTTATAAAAAAAAATGACAATTGTCAATCAGCCTGGCACTCTGCAAGGGGAGAGGGAATAAGACACAATTCCTAAGGGCTAGTCCAGAGCAAACCTTGGTCTACTATGCGTGATGAAGGGTGAGTTTAGAATGAAGAGAATATAAGACTCGTGTTCACTAACCTCTATTTACCCAGACAGGGCAGTAACCATAATGAGATTTTTCAATAATAATGATTGAAATAAAAAGCAAAGCTTTATAGTTAATCCCAAGTTAGATATAAAATTAAATTACTTAGAAAATTTTCTCACTTGTTTCTCCAGACATTTCAGTTAGTTAAGTTTTTATTATCCTAAAAACCATAAATTTGGATCAAGAACAAAAACTATTTCCAAGGAAAGGATCCGTAAAATGTACTTGAAATAGAAGTACAATGCAATTATATCCCAGAGCAAAGATTAGGGAGTCCAAAACTGACCCTAGGAAGTCGCCAATCTTCAGGGGTGATCTACTGAATTTAACATTGGGAGGTGTGACCTGCATAAATCAAGCTGACGAATGGGCTCAGGGCCCTTGACTGTCTCTAAGGTGTGCTATCTGACAATGTCGATCAATTTTCTGGGATTCACTTCCAAAAAGTTAGTATAAAACTGTATATTTGAATAAGTACTAAGCCAAATTTGTCAAATACCATCTCAAATTAATCTGTCTTTTCCTCATCGTGGTTTGACCTTTTCTGTGATATCCCATAACCCACCAACCCCCCCCCCCCCCCAAGATGCCCAAGAGTTCTCATGTTCTTTCCAGTTCTTACCTGGATGATAATTTCTGCTGGGCTCTCTTCCGCTTTCTTTTGTCCTACATTCTGAATATGCATGAACTGGCCTGTGGTAGGCATTCCTGCTGCATCGATTTTCCTTGTTGTTAGGGGAGGGCCGGCAGCAGATGGACTTGAACAGGACTCTCTACATTTCTGTTGCTGGGGAGTGCAATTCGCCACCCCTGCCACCACCACGTGGGAGGAGGATGACGATCCTGCTTCCCCAGCGAGCATACTAGTGGCAAGAGCCTTCTTTGGGGAATCCACTACCATATGCTCTACATTTGTATCGATCTGAGCTTCCATCAAAGACATTTTCAAAATGTCTGACACTGCTGTCTTCTCAGAGGCCTGAATGGGAGATATGCTTGTAACTGGTGATGTCAGCTTAGGCACAGAACTGCCACCAGTTATCTTTGTAACTGTTGGTGGCTGGCGCCCCTCAAAAGTTATCTTTGTAACAGAGGATCCTTGGGTTATAATTGGCTGCTCCACCTGAAAACAAATTGGGGTTGTGTGTGTTACAGCTACATCTTTTTGAAAATCTATCAAACACCCCAGACAATATGGTAAAGGAAACATTCGTGCGCTATACTAGGAAGACATTTGAAGCTTGGTGTTTCGATAAGAGGGCTGGTAGGGAAGAAACTGGCTACTCGTACAGAACCTAGGGAAAGAGGAGCAGTCAACAGTTTAGCCAGCCGAAGTTCATAGCAAATTAAGGGGGAAAAAGTTACAGAAGTCTTATTTTCCTTTAGGATTTGTATTTCTACACAGTATATCTTCTATCTGTCTCAAATTATCTCATATAATCTTCGGCTTTTTAAAATAAAAAGTTTTTTTTTTTAAATTTTTTGCTTCAAAATACATTTACACAGATTCTATATATTTATGTATTTATAATTTACTCACTCCAAAGCCACTGACTTTCATGAAAATTGTTTTTCTTTCAACTATCCAGAGATAATTTCTCTGCAATCTAGAAGATAATTTATTAACTAGATGGTGATGATGCAAACTATAAAGGAAGATGTTCAATGAAGCGCCTTAAAAGATTATAGTTTACTTAGCATTACTGTCACAGAAATAAGAGTTTACAGGCATAGAAATAAATATTTTAAACCTAAACAAATAGAAATAATTTAGGGATATCGCTTCTATGCACTATTGATCAATGCCGAAGTGATTTCATTTAAAAAATGCCTGAAAAATCAACTTCGGAGGCTATGATTTTTTCCCCCTTCTTATATTAATCATGTGCATTTCTTCCCTAATGTCAACCTTCTGGTGGGGTACACTAACACCAGCATAATGAGGCTTTCGAGTTTCCTCTTGCCAGGAGAAAGCGCTGCTAATCATGATAGGGTTGTGATAGTTTCATTTTTTCATAGTTTAACTTTGCATGCTATCGATATTCCGTTACCTGGCTGGCCGGCTGTTTCTCTGACGAGGCTGGGAGCGCCATTTGGCTCTGGGGGGCTGGGGGCTGCACGTAGATTTTTGGCTGGTTCGGAGCCTGCTGCAGTTTAGGGAGCTGCTGTGTGGCTTTCACGGCAAGCACCTGGACTACAGTTTGCGGGGGCTGTGCCATTACGGCAGGAAGCTGCCTGTCTTTGGCCACAATAGGGTGCTGTGTGTGCTGTGCGTCTGGCTTGGGCTGTGCTTGTTCTTGCTGGAGAGGGGTGAGTTTCTGATGCCTGATGGAAAGCTGGGGCATTTGCGGGAGTTTGTGCTGGAGCTGGTCTGCCTGCAGGTGGATGGTCTGCTTCTGTTTAGTCTGGAAGCACTGCAGGGTTTTCACTTGCAGCTGAGTCTGTTCCAGCTGGGGCTGGCTAAGTTTCTGCTGTTTAGCAGATTGTGACTGAGGCAGGGCAGATCGGTAAAACAGACCTGTCTGAGGGTCTAAAGTGTCCATCTCTTCAACCTCACCCTCCTCAGTTCCAAGTTCCTCGCTGTGTTTGGTAAAAGCAGTGTGGCTGCTTAATGCCTGAGTGAAAAAGGCACAAAGTAAGAATGAAATAAGAAAAACACCTATAATGCTACATTTTCCTCAAATTGGAAAAGACTTGGTTATGAGATTCATGCAAAAATTATCAGAGGAAAGAGCCTAATAAGACCAAGAAACCTCAAGATTTCCAAATCTAAAGGGGGCTTTACATAGAGATTCCTGTAATTTCAACTCTCAGACATTAAGTACTGTAAAAAACTAGTCTACTCACTTCTAATATAAGAAAAATTTGAGAGGGTCTGAACTTATAGGTAAGAAGACTGAGGTTGCTGCCCAACACAGAAAAAAAGAAAACGCTGCCCTGGCTACAGAAACAGCTCCAGGCCTGTAATCAGAGATGCTAACCATACAAACATGTAGCAAACCAGGAGTGAGGCATCCAGAGGAAAGCCAAGGTGCAGAGAAGCCTACTTTGGCTGTGTGCGTGCCCAACACTGTCCAGAACAGCGGTCGCCAAAGGTTGGTGACCACTGGTCCAGAAGGTAAGAATTGTCGTCTGAGGACATGCCTGTCCCAGTCCCCACAGAGGGCCTCTCTGCTCAGAGTGGAGATGGTTTATGGGGCTTCACAAAGGTCTGCGGAAACCACCCTCTGCACTAGCCTTCCTCGCCTCGCCCCTTTGCTCAGATTCTAGGCCCAACAGGCAATGGCTTCCTGGAGAGAAGGAGGGGGAGGGGCCAAGAGCACTTCTGTCAGTGGGAAGGGAGATTGTCTGGTGTTGGTGACAATAGTGTTGGGAGGAGCATCGATCTGGAGTGACATGATTGGGGCCAGCCTGTCTGACCTCTCTGGCTGCCCTGAGAAAGGTCAATGTCAGGACTGGCCAGAAGAGGGTCAGACTCCAGGCTGAGATCTGACACCTAGCAAAACCTCTGGCCATCTGACTTCCCTTAGTGACACCGATCCCATCCTTGTCATATGCTGCACCTCTATAAAATTCAATTAAAACCCTCCCCCCATCTCTTAACGAACTTACACCTACAGGTTTTTAATTCAACATTTTCTTCATTGCCGTTCAGGTAGATTGACTACTAATAAGGTCAACTGCTACCAGTAGTTGAGAGCTGGTGATTTATGTAAATACTTAAATGTGATAACTATGATATCACTTTATAATAAAAGCAGGCTACCTTAAATTTAAATCCTGGCTCTGCCACCTAGGATAAGTTACTAAACTTCTATAAGCATGTTTCCTCATTTGTAAGAGGGATAATACACCCATCTTACAGGATCATAGAATTAAACAAGTTAGTGCAATTAAAGCTCAAAGCACAGTATCCGACAAAAAAAAAATCAACTTATCAATCAACATGTTTTCTTTCTCCCATTATCCTTGGCACCAGATTCTCGGTTTTAATTAAATCATTCCCCTTGTTGAGTGTTTTCCTTCATTGGTCATATAAAATTTTTTTTAAAAAGGTCAAATATTTATCTTGTTCCCATGAGGATTCATTATAAAATCAAAAAGTAAAACAAATAAGAAAAAAAAACACAACCACCTCAGTAACAAAAACCGAAACACGCCAACTTCTATTTCATCTGAAATTTATCTCAGTGATAAATTCTTTCATAACAATTAAAATCATAGAAGCAGCGACCAATTCTGATGTCATAAATTCATTTAGATAGCCCCACCCTTTCAAAATAGTAAGAGTGCACAGAAAATCCAAGAATATTATTTCTTGGTTACTTTCTGTTAAGGCTTTCAACTCATTTCCTCTATTCACTCCTCACAGATGAAAGAAGTACACAAACACTCTGATTCGGTTATTTCTCCTCTTACAAGAGGAGATGAAACTGAACCTCATTTCAGGCAAAGTGCAGTTACAGAAGGTAGGAAGAAAAAGAAGAGGTACAACCTGCTGCATAATGTGGGTGATTGCTCCTGGGGAAGATGCTGGAATGGACTTCACCACCACTGAAGTCTGTGTTGCAGTCTGTGACTGAGCCACATGCTGGAGTAGTGTCCGCTGGGGCTGGGAGGGCTGTTGGGGCTGGGAGCGATGGCTGACTGAAAATAGAGGAGGTAATGATATTTCTCCAGAAACCACTACAGTATATGTAACCAGTAGTCATTTTAAAGGAATATATGTGATACTGCATCACAGAGAAAGTGTGAAGTGAAGTAGGAGGCAGAAGACCAGAGTCTGCCCATCTATGAGCCGTGTGACTCCGAGAAAGTTGCACCCTCCTATGAGTTGTACTCACTTTCTCCAGTGACCTTTATCCCAGTTTCTGTAATGGAATTCCAGATTAATTTCTTTAGGATTGTAAGACAATATAAGTTTATTTAATCTGTTGACCCCAATTCCAAGTGCAACAAAAACCAGAAGGATCCACTCCTTTATACTAGAGGCCTGGTGCACGAAATTCATGAATGGGGGGGAAGGTGTCCCTCAGCCTGGCCTGCACCCTCTTGCAGTCTGGGACCACTCTCTCCTTACTGCCCGCCTGCTCTCTGCTCCTTACTGCTTGACTTGCTGCTACTTAGCACTGCTGCAGAGGAGGGAGAGGCTCCTGTCACCACCACTGTACTTGCCAGCCAAGAACCTGGCTTCTCGGTGAACCTGGCTTCTGGCTGAGCGGCACTAACCACCAGGGGACAGTTCCTGCGTTGAGTGTCTGCCCCCTGGTGGTCACTACACATTATATTGACTGGTCATTCTGCTGCAATGGTCGCTTAGGTTTTTATTATATAGACTAGTGGCCCGAGGAACAAATGAAGATTCGTGCAAGAACAGACCTTTGCTCTGGCCAGAGCAGCCTTTCCACTATGGCCCAGAGCTGCCTTTCTGCCTTCCCATGCTGCCCAGCAGCTGGGGTGATGCATAACACCTGTGTCATCGCCATGGTGACAATGCAAGCATCCTGCCCTGTCCCCTCAGCACCTGTGTATGCAAATTAACCCACCATTTTTGATTGGGTTAATTTGCATACTCACTCCTGATTGGCTGATGGGCATCATGAAGGTGTGGTCAATTAGCATGTTACTCTTTTATTAGGTAGGTAGCCTTACAGTTCTTAAAGCTGTAAGAGGTCAAGATGACAATGCAGAGAGTGTCATCACCAAGAGTCACACCTGGATTCTGCCCCACTCTGCCACCAACCAACTGTGGGAATTTGAAGACATCATGTAAACTTTATTTAACTTCTGAAACATCAGAGATTTTGTTTGATTTTTGTTTTTTAATGGGATAAGAGGACCAAATGAAGTAATGGATTAAAAATATTCCTTAAGCCGAAACCGGTTTGGCTCAATGGATAGAGCATCGGCTTGGGGACTGAAAGGTCCTGGGTTCGATTCCGGTCAAGGGCATGTACCTTGGTTGCGGGCATATCCCCAATAGGGGGTGTGCAAGAGGCAGCTGATCAATGAGTCCCTCTTATCATTGATGTTTCTATCTCTTTCTCTTCTCTGAAATAAATAAAAACATTTTAAAATATATATATGAGCTCTCATCGATGTTTCTAACTCTCTATCTCTCTCCCTTCCTCTCTGTACAAAATCAATAAAATATATTTTAAAAAATATATTCCTTAAATTGTGAAGTACTAAAATATAAAGTTAACAAAATAATAGAAAAATCAGTATTCTTTCATCTTCTCTTAGCTCATCTGACACAAATAATTAAGAGTATACATTGAAATAACCACACTTCATTTTCTTTCGCTACAAAGATCCCATGTAGAAAACTATCTATATTGATGCCAGTCAATCATATTTTACCAGCCTGAATTTCAACATTTTAAACAGTATAAACATTCACTGATTCTTATTCTACACAGCTTTAAACATGTTTATATTTACTGAGAAATCAACTTTCTGAATTAGGAACAGAGTAAAAAATTCTAGAAAATTAGCTAAGAATTTTGAGAACATGAAAACTCAATAATCCATGATTCTAAAGCTCATATATATATATTTTAAAATCTTTTTATTTATTTCAGAGAGGAGAAAGAGATAGAAACATCAATGATAAGAGGGACTCATTAATCAGCTGCCTCCTCCACACCCCCTACTGGGGATCAAGCCTGCAATCTGGCATGTGCCTTTGACCTGAATCAAACTTGGGACTCTTCAGTCCGCAGTCCGACGCTCTATCCACTGAGCCAGATTGGTGAGGGCTAATGTTCATATATCTTGATCTACAATTTCAAGTAGTAATGGTTTCATACTTAGAAAAGTCATCAGTGGGGTATCTAAGATGATCACTATAGAAATCAATATAAAATGCCATTAATGTGTAATAAGTACAGAACTTTAAAACTATCCAGTGAAATATAAACAAGCTTTATTTCTATAACACATTCTATCTATACTCAAAAATGCATTTCTCTATTGTTGCTATCTGTACATACTAGTGTGCCTACATCTGATATGAGAGAGGTTATAGGTACCACTAGTCTTACTTTATAAATGTACTGTAGTATCAGTTTGCATTATTTTTCATTTTAAATTATATGAATTTATAAAATCTTTCATTTGTGCTCAAACTGGAAAAAAAAAAGGAGTTGGCGTTTATATCAAAACAACTAATGAAATCTACAATATGACTGAATAAAAGAAAAATAAATCATATTAAAATTAAACAAGCAAGTTAATGAAATTGTTATTGATGAAAGCATCATAAAAAATGAAAGGTATCTAAAAAAATAAACTTCTGATGAGATTATCAGATTATATAAAACATTTCTGCTGTCCATACTAGTCTTTATACTTATTACTTTAATTTTTAAGGAAATGAATTTAATAGAAAATCAACTAAAACCATTTAAAAATAATCTTTATTCAAACTACTATAAATCTCTTCTCCAGAGTACAGGAAAGTTAAGACAAACTAACACCCATTGCAGGATAATACAAGAGGCCAGGGCCAGGAAACTGGCTTTGAAGTCAAAGAAAATCTGCCTGTGATTGAGGATATTATTGGGAGGAGATTATGAAAGGAGGCCACAGAGTGAACAGTGGAAAACAGCTTATCTGGGCCAAATAAATACCATAAAACAGTCACTTACTTCTTTAAAGAACTCCCCCCTCCCTACCCCCCAATATCAAATTGTTTCTTTCTGAGAAAAAAATCCCACTGTTCTGCAAAAAGAAAATCTCTCTTCCTCTCTTTCACTGATCGGCGCTTTCCTTTCCTCTACCACATCAGAGTAGAGCGCATACAATGAAGTGGTTCTCCCCTACACAGTCATCTTTTACCTTTGGTTATACAACAAATGGATGCACACCACTCACCTAGAAGGGGAAAAGCAACCTCTTGAAAGGATAAGTATGGGAAGAAATCATAGGTCTTTTCATCTATTTATGATAATCTAGTCTATACCAAGGCCAATACTGATTTCTCTAACATACTACCCTCTGCTTTATTTAGCTTTCTGCTAAATATCTCTAAAGTAATAGTAAATGCTAGGTGGATTTCCATAATCTTTAAATGAATTTTCCATTTGGCAATTTTAACCCATTAGTCTTAATATCTTCTAAAATGATGCCAAAGAATTCCCTTTCTGCTTCAGTATTTACATCCTTCAAATATTTTTAACTTTATATTCTCTTTTAATCACTGCTAAGGAATACTTAAGACAGGTGTTCTTTACATAGTGCTTCATAAGTCCTCTCTCCTAACCCTGAATTATTCACATTACTACTCTCTGAACTATTTCAAATCTCAAGGTAATGAAGTGTCCAAAACAGAAAGCAGTATTCCAGGTGTGGTTTCACCAGCATCTGAAAGAATCTATTATCCTTCCTGCTCCATTCTCTATATACGCCATCCAAAAATCTCATTAGTATTTTGCTTCCAGGCTGTATTTTAAACAAATACCTAATTCACTTTCCACCAGAACTCCTAAGTATATATAATAACTTAAAATTTTCCACACTTTTTTCCTTTACATTAAAAAAGGATTGGATTTTCTACCTTCTTTCTCCCTTGATCCACCTTTCCCCCTCCCCCAAAATTAAAAAGTTCAGATGCATAAAAAATGTTTTCTAGATTTTAAAAAATTACCCTCGATAAGTGTTAGCCTATAGTCACAAGTATTATTTATGGCCAACTTGCAGTTTTATGTTACTTGCAAACTGTAGCAACCTATTATCTCGGCCGCCCCTCCTCTCTCGCCCCCCACCCCCACCCCCGTCCCCAACCCAGCCCCTCGCCAATTGAAAAAAAAGAAAATCCCAAAGACAAAGTGAGTTTGCTGTCAGAGCAAACTGAAAGAGATCCGGAAATGTAAAAAACATATTGTCCCCCAAACAACCACCCTATGAAATGCAGAAAGGTAGCTCTCCTATCTTAATATTACTTTTCAAAAGGACACCTACCAGTAGTGATGTATTCAGCAACTAGTTCTGACTCTACTACAGCAATTGATGGACTCTCCGGAGAATGTCTCTTTTCCTGGGTCATCTGAATAGGCACTGCCATTTGACTCAAGTCAATAGTAGGTTGTCTTGGTTTAGATTCCAATTTTTCCTTTACTGCATAAAAAAGGGGAAAAGTTAACTTTTATTACAAGCAAGTACCAAAACCAGAGTTGTCCATGGGAATAACGAACCAGACCTCTGGGGTGCCACACTGGCAGTGACTAAGGAGACAATGAGTTGAAAAGGAAAAATCAGACTGCTATGCTATAGAGTCCACAACTTGTGCGATCATACCCAAAAGCCTAGCAAAAAGGACTCTATGCAGAGTAAAATCCCCCCCCCATTGTCATTAGGCCAGACAACTGGTTCTGTTTCCCTTATACACATTTCCCTTAGAACATTTTCTTCCCTTCTGCAAGGTAGGCCCTGGTATCCTTGAGTTCACCAACCTGAAAACAAAGGGTGAATAAGCAGTACAAAGAATGATTTCCACTCAGGCACACCTACCCTGAATAACACAATTCAGTGATCAGTTTAATTTGTTCCATTAAAATTTTAAGGTAATCTCTAAAGAAATATAATGTTTTCAATGACTTTTAAAAAATAAAAATTTTCAACATTAGAAAAAATGGTTTCTGTGTTACTGCAAAAAAATGTCTTCTGGAATAGTCTGGAATCAGGAATGGTTTCTGTGGACAGATTTATTTTTTTATCTTATCACTTTTTCCACAGAATCTACTCGGTTTCTACCTTCTTATAAAGCATTAATGAAAATGGCTAAGTATGTAAAAAACAAGGAGCTGAGGAAATAAATGACTAAGGTTAAAAATGGTTATCAATATTTAAAAATGTTAACCGAAGACTTACATTAAATACTAGTATTCTTGGGGTAGTGTAGAGTGAATGTCACAACAAAGAGTAGTAACCAATAATCAAATCCACTGAATGATCATTCAGACTATTCCCACAAAGCATATAATGTGACAAAATCAAGATAATCATTTAAACAAAGAAAGCAAAACCAAACCAAAAGAATACAAAAGTTACCCTATAAGTAGAGAGGACATAGAACTAGGAATCAAGACTCTGCCACTAACAGAATCTCACTCTGCCACTAACCAAAAGGGTAACCTCTCTAGGTTTCAGTTTACTTATCCATAAAATGAAAGGGTTGGATGAAATCATTGCTAAAGTCCCTTAAATATTCCGACAATCTTTGACCTATTATAATAGAGAGGTCAGTATTTATAACACAGGTTTTGCCTGTAGTTTGTTGAAGATATTTAGTAACTAGAAATACTGACAGAATCTTGTGAGGATAGCTTTGCATGAAAGTTCAAGTAAGTAAATTATTCAAAGAAACATGAAGATAAAATTAAAACAAATCAGAATGCTAGAAAGGGCCATTAATGGTATTTTATGAACATAAAACTGTCCCATCAATATCAAGGAGGATGACAGGGGCCCTTCAAACTGCCTCCTACTATTCCTGTATAGAGCTGGTGGACTGTATCTATCTTTCCACTTAGAAGTAACAGATCTACTCCTTTCTGATAACAAAAGCAACAGGATTGTCCACTTAAGTCAGGAGACAGAGAAGAAAGAGCTCTGCCATTTTTTTTTTCTACCTTTCTACTGACTGTATCTATCCTTCAGAACTCCTGTGCACATCTTAATGAACTAACTAGTAAGCAGACTGCACCAATGATTATAGACAAATCCAGAGGGGGAAATGTGCTCAAAGAACAAAGAAAATAGAACAGTGGTAGTATTTTAGCACAACCCATCTCTAGAGAAAACATGCTTCATTCAATTGAGCATGTGAGTTCATACCTGTTGTCTGTTGGAGTTCTAACAGAGCTTTGATTGTTGAAGTAGCTGATTGTGATTCACTGGATACATCCTGATAAATTATGGTGGGGCTAGTCTCCATTGCAATCTCATGTTCTGACCAATCCTGACGCCGGGAAGCAATTACATGAACTACAGGCTGGGAATCTGTTTTATATTAGTTAAAAAAAAACAAACCCTATAAACAAAGTTTCTCTTAACAAAAACAAAAAAAACAAAAACAAAAAACCAACAAAAAAAAAAACCAATTTGCTTTTTAAAAAAATTTTGTATTTATTGTAAACTTCATGCTTTATCTCCCCAAGAAGACTTGTAAGCCCCAGAGGGCAAATGTGTTTCATGTCTGTATTCACATAATCATTCATTCATTAACTGAACAAACTGGGCACCTATGTGCCAGAGTCTATATTTGGCATTGAGGATACAAAGGAGCTCACAGAATAATCAAAGGATTCTCAAGAAGCACACAATCTGGTTGGGGAGACAGACATGTAAAAAAGACAAGTTACAATTCAATGTGATAGCTGCTGTAATAAACAGATGAGTACTTGTGTAAGTGGGCATGTACTTGTGTAAGAACAAAATGCTATAGAAATCCATTTTCCCAAACACAGCTGAAAATGTGCTCTGTATTACAACCTCAGCATTCAGTCAACACTTATTGGATGACTGATTTACTGAAAGGAAATCTTGTCCACTGACAACAGGACTGGATAGACTAGAAGCAACCTGATATAACAGGACACATATAACATTTGGAATTCAAAATCTAAGGTTACAGCCTCAGCTCTATCAATTATTAGCAAGTTGATTCTTTGGATCTTAGTATCATTATTTAATTATGGCAACAATGAAATCACCTCTTTACCTCACAGAATTTCTAAGGATCTGAGGATATAAGGAAATCATACATGTGAAAGAGTATGAAGAGTATAAACATGAAGGGCAATAGAAATATTGTTGTGGTAGTGCTGGCCTGAAAGTCCTCAATTCTAAGTCTTTTTGATAGTTTCAAATTAAATTATACCCTAATTCAAGGTTTATTATATTCATGCTATACCAGTATGCATGTAAACACTAAATGTGCATCAAATCTAGCAACAAATTATTTATGAGTTTGCCATCTACAGAATAAGCAAATTGGACTAGACTACTTTTAAGTTCCTAAATTCCTTTGTCCAAGACACCACATAGAAAATTATGCAGAGTATATAAAAGCATGATCCCTATTCCCAAGTTTGGATTATAATAAAAGACACATAAAATAAAGATATACATATGGTTTTTGTATTTTGGGATAAAATCAAATGATTAGAGCAAATAAGATGAATACATAGAAAGAAAAAGTCTGCTTTGAATTGGAATGGTCAGTGAAAGCATCACAGAATAATAAAAAGAATTCATGTAGTGCCCCCAAAACAAGAATAAATGCAACCCAAGTTTGGCCTTCTATGAATATTATATTTTTGAAAACCACAAATCTGTCCCAAGAGGTTGAGGCAGGGGAAACAACTCTTACAAATAAGAGAGAGAGATAAGAACAAAAATAAACCAATATAGTAGATCCTCAAGTTATGTCAGAGATCTGTTCTTATGGTGCAACGTAACGTGATTTTTGCCGTAAGTTGGAACCCACCTACAAAATCACCTACATCACTCACATGGAGCACATACAAAGCAGTAATGAAGTGAAGCAGTTAAAAAAAAAAATGAAAAGAAAGATAACAATTCCTGACCTTTACTTGTGGTAAATAAATAATAAAAAACATAAAGCACATATATACATGTGTCAAAATGAAGGAACTTTTCTTTAATAAAAAATGGGAGATGGCAACATACGTAACCTGAGGACTGCCTGTAGTCTTCCCAAAGAAAACAAAATCAGTATACAATAATTCTGGAATTTTTAATTAACATTAATAAGTTATTATATATATACACACACACTAGTAGGTAGGACCATAAGGCACATAAAGGATGTATAACGTTCATTAAATTTCCTCCAAAATCTAGAAAATTAAAGGATACTATCCTGTAATACCAAATGCTATGTAAAGCATATAACAACTTTTCTTACTCATTTAAAGTAGATATATAGAACTTAAGAGAATTATATTAGAGAACCTAAGTTCTCAAATTTAAAAAATTCTATTGATGATATAAGTATCCCTTGATTGGGTGAAAGGACCTATAGACAAAGAATGACCTGGCAACTCCACTCCATATATATCGATTATCTAGAAAAAAGCAAGGACTGCATTGGTAGAGGGAAATGGTAGAGACTAGAAAAGGAACACAAATTTCCACATGGGAACACCTATCAGAGACATTACCACAAATAACATCATCCCATAGACTAGGGAGATTGCTCACTCTCTGTCCATACTCAGAAAGAGTAACTGACCATCACAAAGTATTACTAAAACAACCCCAACATCTATGACACAGAATGAGAGAGTGAGCCTAGATGTGAAAACCATTTCTTGAATGATTTTCCTCTCTACCATAGGCTTATGCTTAGTCTTGGTTAAATCTACTGCCTATCAAATTTGATGCTGGCGTAGGAAAGTAATGACTAAGGTACCAGGAGTCTGATCTCATAGTACCATTTCATTTGTGATGTGTATCCATTTTGTAGATTTTTTTTGAAAGCTTAATGGAAATTATGCATCCCTGGTATTGTACACATTCTACTCAGTGTTGTTGTTGTTTTTTTGAAGGGATATGGGAGGAATACAGTTTTTAAATGATAATTAAAAATTCCAGATCTATTATATGTTGAATTTGTTTTCTTTGGGAAGGCTATTTTTTTTTTTTTTTTTTAGTGACCCTATCTCATTTAAAGATGGTGGCCTGCTAACCCTCAAATATCTAACCCAACAAGTTACTTAGCAAGTATTTATTAAATACCTACCACATGTTGGGTACTAGAGCTACACACTCCAAAGGCAGAGTCAGGCATCTCTATGAAAGAATGTCTATGTCTTTATAAAATGCCTATATCACATTTTCATAACATCATAAGACCTGTCAGCTAAAAAAGATTTAAAAGTTCATTTAATGCTCTCAGTAATCCTATGCTATAATCTTCACAAAGTACCACCGCCATTCCAGGAACTCTGCCACCAGAGAACTCACTACTTTCCAAAAGAGTTTCCTTCTCAACCCTGCACAATTATGACAATTAGAAAATTTTCTTTTATGGAGTGGAAGCAGGTTTTCCTGTAACTTCTACCCAATTGTTCTAGTTTCCGTTCATGTATCTACAAAGACCAATTCTTCTTCCTTTTCCTCAAGATAACTGATGACATCGCCCATGCTCCCCCAACCCAACTGAATCTTCGTTTTCTCTTCTCCATGATAAATGGTCTGTCTTTGCTAACCATTCCTCATATAAAATAATTCCCAAATGCCTTACCCAACTAAACCATCTCTTTTAAACTAAACCCAGGATGTCTACATCCATTCTATGATGTAACATGTACCTTCCCTCTGAAGTATTGTCATAAAGCCTAAGACCTTCATAGACAGCATCACCCAAAATGTTCCAGAGAACAGTAATTTCTCAAGATGTTCTGCAAAAAAAGGGTCCCATGGTCAAAAAAGTTGAGGAACATTTTACATTATATACTGCACTCCTCATATTAGCACATAACAGCTCTGAAAAGTTATGCGATAAGTAAGCTTTGGCTTAACTTTGATTTATTCCTCACCTTCACCAAGACTTCCCATATCATGAAGCTCTGGAAGAATCATTCTAGAAACCAAGATGTGGCCTACTTAAAACAATGTCTTGACAGGATGCATTTCTGTATTTGCCTCATGCTTTGTTCGACCCTGTTTCCCCAAAAATAAGACAATGTCTTATATTAATTTTTTCTCCCAAAGTTGCGCTAGGTCTTATTTTCAGGGGATGTCTTATCTTTCCATGCACTAGGTCTTATTTTCGGGGAAACACGGTATCATAAATCCCTACCCTTAGTTTTGTACCCTTATTCTCTTCCATTTTACTTCACATAACCTTATATTCTATCTAACCCACCTTAAAACTTTTTAGAAATAAACAGAATATAAGAAAAGTAACCTTTTTACTCTTCCTGCTACTTTCTCCTGTCTTAAATTACATTAAAAGAAAATGTTGCTATTTGGGGGGTTAGAGGTGGCACTAAAAACCACAAAAGCAATATAAAATAAAAATAGACTTCTAAGTAGTGCATAGATTCCTAGCAGTTATGACACTGAAATACTCTGAAAAGCAGCACAATTTTAGACTGAGTCAAACCTTTATCCCTTTCTCTTTAAATCACAGCATATATATTCCCAACACCTTGTCTTTGTGAGAATGTACTAAAGAGCTATACAAGGCCAAAACCAGTTTGGCTTAGTAGATAGAGCGTTGGCCTGTGGACTGAGGGGTCCCAGGTTCGTTTCCGGTCAAGGGCATGTACCTTGGTTGCAGGCACATCCTCAGTAGGGAGCGTGCAAGGAGGCAACTGATCAATGTTTCTATCTCCCTTCCTCTCTGTAAAAAATTAAAAAAAAAAAATATATATATATATATATATTTATTTTAAATATATTTTATTGATTTTTTACAGAGAGGAAGAGAGAGGATAGAGAGTTAGAAACATGGATGAGAGAGAATCATCGATCAACTGCCTCTTGCACACCTCCTCCTGGGGATGTGCCCGCAACCAAGGTACATGCCCTTGACTGGAATCGAACCTGGGACCCTTCAGTCTGCAGGTCGACGCTCTATCCAAACCGGTTTTGGCAATAAAATATATTTTAAAAAATAAAAAATAAAGAGGTATAGAAGGATATGGGAAGAAGGGTAAATGCAGATTATAAAAACTGGCTTCATATTCAATTACATTAGATATGCTTAATTTAATCTGAACTATAAAATGTCTGTATTACAGAATATTTTTTAAAAATACAAAATGAAAGAAAACTAATAAATAAAAACAGATGATGCTTATAATAGATCAAAGAGCAGAAAACCTTATACTTAATCACGTCTAAAAATAGCCAAACTCTTGCACCATTCTTAGAATGGCAACTGAAGACTCACTAATGAAGTGACATGTTTGGGAAGTACTTATTGATTTAGGGCTCCCTTAGGAAAAGAAGAGCAATTTCAAAACATCATTTGAGATTATCCTATCTAATAAAAGAGAAACATGCAAATTGACTGTACCTTTGCTATGCCCACAAGCCATGCCCACCAGCCAATCAGGGCTAGTATGTAAATTAACCCAACCAAGATGGTGGTTAATTTGCATATCCAGGCGCAGAGCAAAGACTGAAGACAGTGTAGAAAGAAGCCAAGTGTTGCAGAAAGGAGCAAAGCTATGGAGACTGAAACGCAAGCAAGCGGGGCGGTGGAGAAGGGAGGGAAGCAAGTTACCTACCGGTGGGAGTATCTGCCCCCCTGATGGTCAGTGAGTTTCATAGAGACTGGTCAAGCAGTCGACCGAAAGGTCAGACACTTCGCATATTACACTTTTATTATATAAGATATACATATATATGTGTGTGTGTGTGTGTGTGTGTGTGTGTGTGTGTGTGTAACACACATCTACTATTCGTGCCCCCCTTTTAGCACCAATGCATAAACTAAATATTTTACAAAATGAGTGACATATTGTTCATTTGTTAAAATCAACTTTTTAAATTTACTTTGAATTGATGAGTTTTTAAAGACCATTTCAAATGCTACTTCCTTCATGAGGCTTTCTCATTTGCTCCTGGCTGGAGTGTGAACTTTCAGCACTTGGTATTTTTGTTAGTAACAACATTTTGTTACTAATAAAATTCTTATACTGAAGTTATACATGTATTTTTTTAAATCCCCTAGTCTAGAGTTTAAGCTCCTAACGAGCAAGAACTATATTTTACTCAACCTTTATAGGGTCTAGCGTAATTCTTAGTATGTAGAATAAACTAACAAATAATTTCAAAATTGAATTATTAAACAATTAGCAATCTGAACCATGTAAAGCTAACTTGGGATGACTCTACTTGAAGAGTAAAAAAATAAAGTGTTTGGCACAATATGAAGAGTCTATATTAGTGCACTCCAGAAAGGATAATGGGACGGCAGGGACAGGAATAGAGTGGCTAAGAATGACCAAGGGAATATTAACCACTTTGCTTAGATGCATCAGAGTGCCTAAGCCTGGTCATAACATACTACCTGACAATAAGAGTGATTTAAGGTAATTGAATATTAGATTTGTAGAAGGTCTCAAAGATTATGATCATGATTTAATTTCAAATGACTTCCTAGAAGAACATAATTAAAACAGCACTGAAAACAAAAAGCTTCCCTACAATGAATATGGCTTCATAGCCCCTTCCTTATAATTAGGAGAGTTATATAATTATTTTCTAAACTAGGATATCTTTGAGAGTGAAAGGGAATGCTGTTAATAATAATGCTAGAACAGACATAAACTGGGACTTGTTCCATGCCAACTGCAATGCATGATAACCTACTTACTGCCCACTTGTAGCCTACCTCTGGCCACCTTGACTCTTTCTCAAGATTTGGCAACAACCATTTCAAAAGGTATATTCACTTTCTTGCATACTTCTACCTACCCAAAGAAAACAGGAGGAATCATAGCTCTAACCAGTTTGATAATACCTCCCTGTCAAAATCATTACCTTAAGTTTACCAATTATTTGATGAACATATGCCTTGCAGTAAAGAATGGTAGGCCTTACCAAAAACAAAACTTCAGCTCACTAATTACAAAAGAAAATAAAATCAAAAGAGGTGACAAATCAAAGTATATTTATTTATTTAAAATTTCTAGATGCACCTATTTTGGAACTAGGGCACTATTGTCAGCAGTAATTATAGAAAATGAATCTTACCTTGGGAACTTTGGGAGGACTCTGTAGAAGAGGAGCTATCTGTATAACTTTGTGGTTCTTCTTTTCCCTCCTGAATAGAAGAATTACTGGCCTCTGCCACCCTGGATGCTTGCTGTAATGTTTCTGTGACTAGCTGCCTTGTTTGTTCACTAACAACTGTAGCTTGAAATGTTACTGGTTTGGGTTTAATAAGAACCTAGAAGAAGAGCAGAAATATAACAAGTGTATCAAATATTAGAGCACTATTTAAAATGTCAATCTTCTATGTCATGAACAGTAATATTTCCTTGGTGTACTAAACAGCATTCTGTACATTTACTATGTTTTGGGCACAACATTGTTCATCAAAGACTAATTCAATCTATAAGCAAATTATAGTCAAGCTACAGAAAACATTTTAAGTAGTACATTCCATATTATTATAGCCATGATTTTGACAAGAGTATCTGCCCCTCTTTTTCCTTGCCTATGATGTCCTCAGGAGTCATTTTACAATCTAGGCTATATTGCAGAAATGAGTCATGAAAGATACAAGATTCTTAGTGGAATTTTTGTATCACAATAACAGTTCCAGATTTCACCAGTCTGAACATTAATTAACACAGTAAAAATAAAACCCTAATTTATTTAAGTCACTGTTCTTTGGTTTTCTATCATTAGTAACCAAATGAAATTCCTGACACACGTATACAAAGTATAATGAAATCATTTTTGAAGAAATCCCCAGAGGAACAATGATGTAGTCAACTATTAGAAGCAATATGGAATATGTGGTAGATCAACTCTTGGCAAAGGTGAAAACCACAGATACCAAAGCAAGTGTAACGAAGAAAGATTTTCAAAGTGAACCATTTCATTTCAAAATTTGGACTATAGGAGTTGATGTCGATTCAGTACATGGAATAATGTTAACTCACCACATTTATTTTTTATTTCTCCCATATATAAGATTTTAAACCTTTTCAGACTCTATTAAGTCACCCATTTCTAAGAATTCAAGAATGAAAAAATAATACAACTTAGATAATGGAACAAATCATCAAACTTACTTGTTTAGATAGTAAACTATTTAGCTATGATTCTGAGGAATCATTCTAAACTCAAATTATTATTTTACAGATAAATTACTACTTTTTACAAAATTTCTAGAATAGCATTTCTCAACCAAAGCTACCTTGCTGCCTTTGATATTCTCAGCCCAGCAACTAAGATTAATTCCTGAGCTTCAATTTCCCAAGCAAATTTCCAGGAAAGTTTCCTTAGTAGTAGAAAAATTGAACAGATCTCTAGCTTCTTTATTAAGTTTCAAGTAAAGCAAATTTTTTAAGTAAATAAAGTGCTTTCAAAGGCCATATTAGCTTATAAAAAGTAAATCATTTTCTCTTGGAGAGATGCTAAATAACTACCATTCTTCCTCAACAATATACTCCTCAAATAATTCAACAAATTTTATTCCAAGGGGATTCTTTTCTCCAATCTTTGCTCATAATAAGACACACACACACACACACACACACACACACACACACACAAAGACACAAATATTTAAATATTTTTAAAAAGTGCGAGGAGTGAAACAAAGGGTTTGAAAATAGGATAATTATACACATGTAGTTATAACTTTTAATAACTTTTAAAAAAAATATTAGTGATCTTTTCATTCAAATTTCTACTTTGGAATTTTAGGAATTTAAAACATACCTGAGCCAAGAAAAATCACCATATCTTAGAGCATACCTGTGTTTTCCCTTGCTGCCCATAAACAATTTTTGTTGGGATGATTTTAGCTGCTGGTTGAACTGTGGAACCTATTCCTTTTGGTTGCGTTACAATCATTTTGGTGATGGGTCTTGTAGCAGTGATGATAGCTGGCTTTGCTCCCGTTGGCACTGTCTGAATAGTTTTTTCTCCCTAAATTGAAGTCAGTAACATATGAGATTTATAAGCATTTAAATGATAAAAACTGTCCTTTTACTAAAAAATCACAGAAAAGATTTTATCAGGATGATGGGAAAAAGAACTATAAATTGTGCAACAAAGTACAATGTTTCAAGGTGATCAAAAATCCTAGACTTAGTTGAAATGATCTTAGAAGTCATCTGGCTAACTTTCTATCCAAAGAAGGCATTATTTATTTTCTGGTGAGTAAATTAAAAGAATTACTGAATAAGAATAACTATTATACTGCCTCATTCATAGACTAAATATATTAGAAGTCAGAAAATTATAGAAAATTATACTAGAGGCCCAGTGCACAGCATTCTTGCACTGGTGTGGCCTGCGCAGATCAGCCTGCTGGGGGAGCACTGTTCATTCTGGTCAAGCCAAGTGGCTATGGACCAGACCTCTGAGCGGCTACTCCCGCTGAGGTCTGCCAAGTGGCGTTTCCACTCTGGGAGTGTACTGACTACAAAAGGGCAGCTCCTGCGTTGAGCGTCTTGCCCCCTCGTAGTCAATGTATGTCATAGCAACTGGTTGACCAGTCGTTCTGCTGAAGGATCGCTGAGCTTTTATTATATAGAATATGGAAATGTTAACAATGATAGTTGCAGTTATATGTCTTACCCCACCCCATATTCATCTTCATTTTCTAATTAATCTGAAAGGAACATTTATGTAATAAAATTACTGTGCATTATACCAATAGCTAAAAACACAGATATAAAATAAACTGCCTAAGTCCCCAAATATAAATTACAAAGATAAATAGCATAATGTCTATGTGAAAAAGCATGGGCAAGAGATGAAATCAGCAAAGATTTAACATTCTTTCTGAAGCCATATAGGAAAACACACAGGAAAAACTGAAGGCATTTCCCATGTTTTATTACTAGTATGTTACTAATATCACTTTAGTTTATTGTCTAGATAGCATAAGCCCATTAACTTTTCACCATTTTCTACATTTTCATCTGCTTTATTCTTAAGTTCCATTTTTAGTAATTTATTAAGTCAATACTTAAACTTAACTAAATTTAATTCAAATACAGTGATTTTACTTAGTAAAATTTTAAAAATTAAAATCCATAAATAAAAAGAAAAGGATCTGAATTTTTTAACCTTATCAGTTTTTCTTAATTTTTAGTCATTAAATGTGTCTGTCTAAACTTAACAGCCAGTAAAAACAAAGCATCCAGGTGAGCTGGCAAAAAGAAAATCACTATGAACTTAAGAGCCAAAATTATTACACAAATCACAAGATTAACTATCTGCTATAACTACCTAGAGGACACATGAAGTGTCTGCCAATTGTGCACTTACTCATTTTAACACACACATACCCTTCACAGCTGCATTCTCTGGAAAGAGTTCTAGTTCACTTGCCAAGAACTGCTGGTTTATAAGTGGGCATGCCTATCTATTTAAACAGCTTGATGGCCCTTGTCCAAGTATAATGACCCATTCTAAGACAGTTCAAAACCAACTAGTAGGCTATTTTAAAAAAAGCTTTTGTCGGGTGTGCGTGAACATGCATAGGAGGTCAAGTGGTTAAGCACAGGTGCATGTACATATGTGGTAAAGAGGATTTGTCTTATTATTCTTCTTCTTTTAATTGTCATGCCTTGTGCCTATTATAATATATATCTAACAACTACAATTCACAAATAACTCTTAGATCTACATGACCACAGGACCTACGTTACATGGTAACCTCTCTTACATATCAAGTTCTATGAAATTACAAACGGGTTCTGAAAATCTAAATTCGAACTGTGGCTTTACTTTTGGCTTACTATGTGAACTCAAGCTAGGAATAATCTAGGTCTTCCCACCTGATAAAAACTCTAATGCTGGGCCCCTATCAACACTGTGAAGACTGTGATGCCTAGGAAGCTAATAGAGATCTATTAAAATGAAGTATAGCACTCTTTTTCAAGCAAAGTAGGGACATTACCAAGCCTAAACAGTTAAGTAATAAGAGTAATAACAATAACAAAACAAAAGCAATTATTGAGGACTTCCTATGTGTGAGGCACTGTTCTAAGCACTCTCAAAATATCTACCAGTTAGTGAAAAAACTCACTGGTAGAGATTATCATCCCCAGCATACAATTGAGTAAATTAAGGACGAGAGAAGTTGAATACATTAGCCAAGATCAAACAACCAAGACACTGAGAGACCCAAAGTTTATCTAATTCCAAACCTCTTAACCACTGACTATATAAATAAAAAAAAACTATAACTGAATCTGTTAAATTTTTTTACTAGCTCCAAGGTAAAAATGAAAGAAACAAATCCCTATCAATTAAGTTAGTCTTAATCCCAAATATTTCTCTTTTCCCAGCCTAGGCCAAATACTAGGTTGCTCTCTACTGGCCATATACAGGAATAAAATATCCTCTAACAGATGTCCCCCAGTAGTTAAGCCAGCGGAATCCTCCATCAGGATCAAGCTAAATATCTAAATCATGATCATAAGCAACCTGGCTATAAGCAACATGTTCTAGAAATTACTGTGAAAAAACAGCATCAGTAGATGGTGTATAAACAGTTATTATACCACAGCGGTGGTAAATCAAGCCATTCTGGCCATTATGGGGTTCTGAAGTTCTTAAGCAAATATTTGTATAGCTGGTCTTTCAGGTGCTCAGTGTATTGCTGAGTCTGCAGTTCAAGCTCTTACTTACTCCAGCATTTAGCAATGTTGTGACAACATTTTTGCCCGGGAGGCCTTGAATGGTCGTTCCTTTTCCTGTAGTCTTTTGCACAACAATCACATTGGGCTTGGAAGTCATTGGGATTGTAGTGATTTTAGTAGTCGTTCCTTAGAGAAGGGGGGAGAAAAGGAGGCCTGAGTTAAGAACTAGTGATATTTAACTATTTATGTTGTACATAATTAATACATGTAATCAATGTCATCCCAAGATGACATGAAGGCTGTCATGAGGATGAAAACAAAGGCTTGGAATAGTAAATTACAAGTTGTCCTAGAATGAAAGAATATTAAGAATTAACTCTTAAAGCCGACATCTTTTTGGAATCTGAGGATCTACCTACCATACTCAGAACCTAAATATATTACTATCAGTTTCTCCATCAATATTCCTCCCCCAATAGTTAACTGAAACAAATCAGAATCTCTATTCCATGATATATATTTTCCCCAAACACAGTATCATATATTTATGTAACTAGTGTGATGGAAAAACTCATCAAAAACAACATAAAAAAGAGGTAGTTAAGTGCTCATCAAAATTCACCTAACACTAGACTCTAGAGAAAATTTATGGGGAAAAGTCATGTATTTTTATGTGATAAAAAAAAAACACACACACAAACTAAATACTGACTCATAGAGTAAGTCACAGGTTAAACATGTGCTCTTATAATCTACAGCACTGGAAACAGTGAGGATGAATCTCTTTTTTATTTTTATATACATAAACTTGTATTTCATCTATTAAGATCTACTTAGTAGAGCTATATCTACTCACTCAAATATCGTATTATCTTGCAATCTCCCCCACATCTGTTTCTCTCCTTACCTATGAACTCTATCTATCTATCTATCTATCTATCTATCTATCTATCTATCTATCTATCAATCAAATTTGTACACTATATTCTTCTAATTGTCCAAGTTGGAAATCCGGGTACTAATCTTTGATTCATGCCTTGTCTTCACTCTGACAAAAATGAAAGTTTCTTTAGGTCCACACTGTATCTTTACACATCACTGATTCCTCAATGCTTAGCACACAGTGTATGGCAATTACTCAGTAATAAGTAGTGTATGAACCCAATTTGTCACCAACATCTGTCTTCTTTCAAAATATTATCAATATCAGTTCAATAGACAACCCTCATCTATTTTGGCTTCCCATTATTTTCTCCCTATTTCAACTTTCTCTATTACACAAATATCGATAGTTCTGATGGTACCGGTAGCAAATATCCTAAAAAACAAACAGATAAAAAACCACCTAATTTCATCATGCCAAGGACCCAGAACATGTGAAATTGGTTAAAACCCTCCTAATCCCTCTTGTATTTAGTTCCAACTTTCCATTTTGATTTTCAAATTCCTATATGTTGCCCTTAATCTACCAATTTGATCTTATTTGTTCTGTGAGAAGAAACAAGTAATCTTTTCAGTCAAAGAAGGGAGTTTAGGCAGTTGACATTTTGGCCTGTGATTTGCAGCTCCCATGGGGGCTGCCATTTTGAAACAGCGAAGATCAACTCCTCCCTTTCTCCTCTAGCCAACTGCACAAGACTGTGAGCCTAAGCTCCTCCAATCAAGAGTGAGGGACAGACCACGTGTGTCAGGAATAAAAGCCAAATGACCATGCTGCTTGTGTACATGCTGCCAGGCTCTGTTGGTACACACCCTTTTGCAATAGTAAAGATATGTGCCTTGCAGCTGGCTCCCAAGGGTGCTTCATGTTCTATCAGGAGCCCTGATTTGGGGGGCTCACCTTATTTCTAACAGTTCCTACTCCACAATACACATCATAATTGTAGTCTAACATGTAACTTCTTGACTGTGGCTTCTTATTATCTACCACACAAAGCCAAACTCCTCTGCTTAGCTTTCCAGGTTCCATCAGACTTTAGTTTTCAGGATTACTGAGTATATACCTCTCCTTCAGTGTTGGTTTCCATATGGGTCCTTGAGCATAACAGTCCCAATGCAACTTTTGCACCTGTAATTTCCTTTGCCTATAAAAACAGGCAAGCCATATTTTTCTTCCATGACTAAGCAAAGGTCAGGTACTCATAAAAATACAATGGATTAATATATTCTCAAGGAGAAAAATTTTTTAAAAATTTCTACTGAAAAACCTTAGCATTTCGTACAAAAGATTTAGAAACAAGATTGTACTAAGAATAAAAATATTCTGCTTATATGTCACGTTTTTATAATCTTGCTACAATATCTTTGTAATATACTTGCCATCATCTATTATCTCATAGCCCATGGTAACACTCAAATTACACCAAAAAAGCACTTTTATCTATGCACCCCCAGGTTCACAAATGTTTCTTCCTTTATCTGTAATATCTAAACAGTAAGCTAAGAGCCACAAAAAACAGGTTGCCCACTATTCACTTATATAAACTTTAATTCTTAATTAATTCCAGTCCCTCATGTGTTACTGATTATGATGCCACTTCTTTGGCAATATAGCCTCACCTAATTTTGGCTAAGAAAAACTTTTTAGAAAGTAAGCATTAAAAGCTATCTCAAAGAAATGTAAACTAAGCTTTTACTACACCAAAGTATAAGGACCACCAGCTTAGCAAATGTGGAGGAGGCTTAGCATAAGGCAAAGCAAGTACAGCATTATACTGAAACTAGTGCCCTGGTACATGGATTTGTGCACATTGAAAAGAAATTAATTAGAAGGTGGCCAGTGGGGCAGGACTGGGCAAGACAGGGCCGGATACGCCCTATATCCAACCTCCCATGGTCCCTCCTCAGTCTGCCACACCTGGGGCAGTGTCACAGCTCAAAGAGTGTCTGCAGAGTGAGCAGGGTCCCTCTGGCAGGTGGGGTCCCTCAGCCTGGTCTGCGGAGATCAAACTCTCCAAAATCTGAGGGGTCTCAGATTGTGCACTGAGGAAAGGGAGGAAGTGGGAGGGGAGGGCGGAATCCCTCAGCCCACCCTGCGCCCTCTCACAGTCCGGGAGCCCTCTGGGGATGTCCACCTGACAGCTTATGCCTGCTGCAGAGGCGGGAGAGGTTCCTGACACCACCCAGCTTTTGGTTGAGTGGCACTCCTCCTATTTGAGCGCACTGACCACCAGGGAACAGCTCCTGTGTTGAGAATATACAACCTGGTGGTCAGTGTGTATTATAGCAACTGATAGCCATTTGATCGAATTGTATATTAGCCTTTTATTATATAGGATAGGATACAATTTATAATTGATTAGAGTGATCAAATTATAAAACTCTAAAACTCCAGTGAGCATGTTGCTGTATCTCAGGTGATACCTGTGTTATATTGAAGAAAGTAGTACTATCATATAATACTTGTTTTTTTAAAAGATCTTCCTCTATGCTTACATAGAATTCAGTCTATAGTTTTCATGTTACAACAGAAAGTACATAAACTTAGCATTCTTTAGGGCAGAAAATATACCTCATGTACATCCCTATGTATCACAGCATCCCACCCAGCATCTGACTCATGGTGTATCACAGAACCCATTTATATATACAGCCTTTACTTATAACGAGTCAAAATATAATGGATGCAAATAACTGTGAATCACATTTGGATCATAGGCTATGATACTGATGCATTCCAGAGATTCTTATTTAACAATAAAAGAATTAATATATGGCCCTGACCAGTTTGGCTTAGTGGATAGAGCGTAGGCCTACAGACTGAAAGGTCCCGGGTTCGATTCCAGTCAAGGGCATGTACCTTGGTTTTGGGGACATCCCCAGTAGGAAGTGTGCAAGAGGCAGCTGCTTGATGTTTCTAACTCTCTATCCCTCTCCCTTCCTCTCTGTAAAAAATCAATAAAATATATATTTTTTAAAAAGAATTATGGTAGGTATGCTTAAAAAACACAAATTTTACTATTTTTTACTATTTACTATTAACCCAGATTTTACTATGCACAAATTCTTTTTTCTCCAGGGTCTACAATTAATTTTATTTACTATCTAAACACAAATACTTCTCAATCCCTTCACCTCTCTCATCCATCCCCTAAATCCCCTTTCCTCTAGTAACCAATAGTCTGTTCCCTATATCTGTGAGTCTGTTTTTGTTTTGTTTATATATTGTTCTTTAGATTCCATATATAAGTAAAAACATATGATATTTGTCTTTCTGTGACAGACTTATTTCATTTAGTGTAGCACCCTGTAGGATCATATATGCTGTCACAAATAATAAAATTTCATTCTTGTTTATGGCCAAATAATCCTCCACTATGTACATGTCCCACAGCTTTTTTTAAATCACAGATTCTTAAGACACCCAAACAATCTTGGTCTCTTGGGTAATGTTTTGTTTTTGATTTTTCAACCACAGTTTACATTCAATACCACTCTGAGACAGTTCCAGATGTACCACAAAGTGGCCAGAAAACCATGCACTCTACAGAGGGCTCCCCACTGCCCCAAGTACCCACCTGGCCCCATACCTAGTCTTTGGTAATGTTTTATGTTGTTTTGCTCAAAGATAAGTGAATTAATAAATGAATTTAAAAGAATATATTCCCTGGCCAGGTGGCTCCGTTGATTGGAGCTCTGTTCCATGCATCATACCTAGATTGTAGGTTCAGTCCCCTATGGGGGGGAGGGACGGTGTACGGGAGGCAACCAGTTGGTATTTTTCTCTCACATCTATCTTTCTCTTCCCCTTCCTCTCTCTCTAAAAAATAAATCAATAAAAAAACATATCCTTAGGTGAGAATTTAAAAAAAAAGTACTTAAACACTTGCTTCTTGTTTGGACATTGTACTAAAATAAGACAATCAGCCCTGGCCTGGTGCTTCAGTTGGTTGGAGCATCATCCCACACACCAAAGGTTTCAGGTTCCATTCCTGGTCAGGGCACATACCTAGGTTGTAGGTTTAATCTCTGGTCAGAACATGTATGGGAGACAATAGATCAATGTTTCTCTCTCACATCGATGTTTCCCTTTGTCTCCCTACCTACCTCTCTAAAAAAACTATGAAAACAGGTCCTCTGGTGAGAAAAGGAAAAAAAGAGTAAGTGTATCAAAATCAAGTTTTGCCATTGCCTTGGCTTTTAATAATGCCCTCAGATTCAAGATAATGAGTTCACCTCTGGAGGATTCAATCATCTCCATAAAATATGCATAATTCTTCAACCAACCAATAAAAAATCTTACTTATCTCTTAGTCCTTTCAATGTATGCATATGTATATTTGACTCTATTAACATAGGATTTAAATAACTGCAAAAATGGCATGGCTTCCATTTAACTGCTTATTCCAATAAAAAGAAAAACTTGACCTTTATAGAATGCACGTCAGAAGCATGAACTTGCTTTCTAGGATATTATACAAAGAAAGTAAGGCCTTCACATAATAATAGATGTATAATGTTCATCACAGGATTATTGATAATGAACACAAAAAAATTGTAAGCAACCTAAAACACTGTGTCATCATTAAGCAGAGTGGGAGGGATATCAAAATATATTTAATGGAATGGAAAAGACTATTATTATATTTTAAAAAAACTGATTATATTAGCTCTCAAATTAAATATATACACAAAACCGAAACTGGTTTGGCTCAATGGGTAGAGTGTTTGTCTGCAGACTGAAAGTTCCCAGGTTTGATTCCAGTCAAGGGCATGTACATTGGTAGCGGGCACATCCCCAGTAGGGGGTGTGCAGGAGGCAGCTGGTTGATGTTTTTCTCTCATCGATGTTTCTAGCTCTCTATCCCTCTCCCTTCCTCTCTGTGAAAAATCAATAAAATGTATATTTTTTTTAAAAAAAACAAAAAACCTCAGTGTGAAAAATAAATAAGTAATTATATATACACAAAGAAATGAATAGAAAAAGGAATGAACTGAAACATATATACTTACATTTCAACACATTTCTCTGGATGATAAAAATTCTAAGTTTTTAATTTTCCTTGTACCTTTCTATATTTTCCAAATTCCCCACAGTGAGGAAAAAAGTCTCACTTTTTAAAGTCTTATATTCTTACATCTAGATTTTTTAGTGTATTTTAAGAAAAGTAATCTTTTATTATTGGGAAATAGGGTGTGGGGTTGGGGTATATACAGACTCTAGAATCCAGCATTATCTGCTCATGGGTGAAAGCAGAAACTGTCTAAATTCATCCAACCAGGCTTACCAGTTTACTACAAATAGCTTAGAATTGAAAACTAGTAATAAACTAATCTATAATCCTAGTATCATAGAGAACAAAAATAAGAGAACTATCTTTATAAAGGAAATTAATATGTAGCGTAAGGATCAGTTTAGAACAGTCAGAAATAAGGGAATTTCTTTAGAATAAAAGTGTGAGCAGAGGGCCAGACAAAATGAGCTCCATGTAATAGAGTTCTTTCAACTGTGTGCCAAGTGTATCCTATACTGCTGAAAATTTCAGCCCTCTTCTCATGTATACCCACATTCCTGAAACAGCCACTATGAGCTGCTTTACAGTTAAATAGAAAGGTGGGTAAAATATGTACATGATAAAAATCTTTATCTGACTACCTCTTTGCTTCTAGAAAAATGTGCTTGTTTTGCATTGCTCTAACCTAGTACAAAAGCAGCTAAATCATAAATGTCTGAAAACAGTGGCTTTATAACATCTAAATATACCTTCTAACTATATAATACCATAAATTAATATACGGAGAATTAAAAAAAACATTTAAGAGTCATAAAAAGCTACATACCAATGAAAAACATAATTTTTAAGAAATGTTTAACCAACTATATGTTCTATACTATTTAAAGATATTGTCAGGTAATAAAGTATAACTTGAGTTTTAACTGTGTTATTTAAAATAGCCTCTTAAAATCCGGAGTATGATAAGTCTTTCCTTACTGGTTTCACCTTCCTCAGTTTGGCAGATGCTAGATTTTCTCATTTATACTTAAAAGTAGAGCCAAAATTAACAGCTATTAATATAGTACTTTATGCCAATACCATGCCCTGCTTTGCTTTTTTTTTTTTTTTCCACTCCCTGGGTTATCAGCAACATCATATTATATCAATCCCTTCATTTTTTAAAATAGAACAATTCGCCTGTGGCATACAAGTCCACAGGACTTGCTTGATCAAAGATTATTTACATCATTTTAATTTAAAAATAATAATAATTGAAGAGGCCAATGGGGGGGGGAGAGAACATATGGATATTTTAAATAATAAAATATTTAAAATAAAAAAATATTTATCACTAAAAAAAAATCCTATATAATAAAAGGCTAATATACAAAACGTCCCTTCAACCATGAATTTGGCCAGGGGGTGGGCTGGCCGACAGCCTGTGGCCCCTTCCCCCCGCCAATCCCATCCCTAACCAGTCCCCCCACCATGATCAGGGGCAGGGCCAGCTGACCTCCCTCCCCTGGCCAGTTCCACCCGCCCCAGTCAGGGCAACCCAGCCAGACCCCACCAGTGCACAAATTCGTGCAATGGGCCTCTAGTAATAATAATAATAATAATCATTGAAAACAAAAACCATATTAACATTTTACTTCAGGATCCACAACCTAAATTACTTTAGGAATTAATGAGATCATATAAACCTAGGTAAGGTTCCAAAATACCAATAAATATTAGCCTTCACTATCTAAGTAAAATATTTTTTAAAAGTAAATAGTCCTTATAAATGGTGAAAAGCAAAGATATTCAAATATTTTTATTTTTAATACGCTAAAGCGACATTAGTAACTGAAATTATGAGTTATGTTTACTCAAACACATTTAGATAAATAAATACTAGTTCTTCCAGTATCTAGATTGTGTGATCTTGGAAAGTCAATTTCATCTCTGTAACCTTAAATCTGCACCTGTAAACTGGGGATGATGTCAACTATCTTAGAGTTATGAGGTCTAAATAGATGAATAGAATATTTTATAATTTAAAAAATCTCTATGCAAATGTAAGACATAATCTTTCCAATCTGATTAAAAGCAACATTTATTTCTTTCTATTTTAAAATAATCAAAAACTTAATATGTGAAGATTTAATACTAGAACAAAAAAAAACTATAATCACTAAACATGAGGACTAAATAAAAGCTTTAGATTTCTAATCAGAAAACTGAGACCAAACAGAATCTTTCAACAGTTGAAATATGTTTTATCTTCTAATCACCTGTATCTTTTATATGTTTCAGAGATACCTACCAGAAACTATATTACTGCTAATTATCTTTCCTCCCAAGGTCGCTAATGATTTGGGTACTACTGTAATGATGCTACCACTGGTAGTTTTCACATACGTTGCAGCTCCGGGGGTGGCGGCCATCCGACCTATGGATGGGCTCACTGTTGGCCGGGTGTAGGTTGCCTGTGTGCCTGTAAAATGGGAAAAGCCAAAATAAAAACTTGTCATTGCTTATAGAAGAATGATAATTTATACAGTTTTACTATAATTCAATGTAATCTACATTACTTTAACTTGAAAATGGAATTTCAAGGTGTCAAGAGTTAAGTAACAATTTACAGCTAGTTTTCAAAGCACCATACAGAACTATAGCCAAGTCAATTTGAAACAATTTTACACATGAAATATTGTGATGTGTTGCATCAAATTACTAAGCCCAGAAAAAGTTAACTCTGTTTCTTCTCCTACTACTTTTCTTCCATTAGTTTTAAGCCAAAAGAAACTATTATCTTTCCTGCCAGAGCATTTTAGCTATTTCTGTTATAGATTTTAAAGCTATAGATTTTAAGGTGCATCTGTTTTATGCTGTCTCAGTGCCAAACCTAATGTTAGCACTCAGGAAATAAGGCAGTACTGTTTGCCTAAAATGTTATAAACTTTTATTTGTTTTGTTCTCTGCTACCCTGTAAATATATTTCCATCTTTTAAAGAATTATGCCATCATTTTATTAGAGATTAAAGATGCTGCTGCCAAGAATATTTCTTTTTAGCCTAAAAAGTTCACTATTTCCATATTTCCTCAACTTTGACCTGTAAAGATATTTTTCTCAAAGAATTTTACACTCTTTCCCACTATTTCTAGGATTTTTCCCTTTTCCTAAAGAGGAATTAAAAACTAATCAAATGAGCCTGTTATAGTTTCCTATAAATCTGGTAACTCAGAAATCCCATTCCTAAACTAAGAACTATTTGTCTTGAGGAGAATCAAAATGACTAAAATAACACCTTCTTCAACGGAAAAACTTTTTTCCATGATAATTAGATTCAAAGGTCACTGTGAAAATCATTTTCAACAACCCCCTTCCCCAAAAATGATTTTAGCAAGTTATTCACCACTTAAAAATACAATCTCTATCCAAAAGAGGGTGGAAGGGAAGAACATTAAGTAGAATTAGTTTAAATTGATTACAAACATCTATCTGAATCAGAAAAAAAAAAAAAATTAGTGCAAAGTAAATGTTACATAATTTGAATCAGTTAAATTATAACCAGAAAAAATTTTCAACTTCAGCTTTTGTTTTTTTAAAAAAAGAAACACTCTAATATAGTTACATAAGTATAGATATATTATTTTTTGCTACCTTCCACAACATAAAGAATCATATATACATAACATTAATATCTTTGTACCTAGTGGTGAAAATTTTAGGGGAAGTATGATAGATTTAATATGAAAATAATGGTATATCTACAGCACAGGCTTTGCATAGAGACAGACGGTAGAGTGGCAGTTGCCAAATCCTAGAAGTAGGTGAGACTAGTTACTATTTAATGTGTACAGTTTCAGTTTGGGAAGATGAAAAAGTTCTGGAACTAGATAGTGGTGATGGCTACATATGTGAATGTACTCAATACTAACAAACTGCACACTTAAAAATGGTGAAAATATAAAACTTCATGTTAAATATATTTTACCACAATTTTTGTTTGCACTGGTTTGGAATCAATCAGATCTGGATTAAAATTCCAGTTCTGCCTTTCATTGACTATATGAAATTAGGCAAGTTTCTTACTGTAAGTCTTTTGTTTTGTCGCTGAAAATGGAGATAAGAGAGCCTAAGGGAGATTAAGTGCAATGCTTGTACAGACCTTTACATACTGGCTAATAGCTGATAGCTTATAAACTTCAGACAGGTATCATTTTACACTATCTAAATCCTATCATATAAATTCTGTCTATCCTCAAAAGTATTGGTAAAAGTTATGCAAATTTAAATAATATTAATGAATAATTCTTTTTTTCCTCTCTATCATAACCCCTAATAATTCTAATATTAATTAATAGTAATAGCTATTGAGCACTCTGCTAAAGACTTTACACACTTGTTTTCATTTAATACTTACAATAACCTTATGGCATAGGTATTATTATCCCATTTAAATAGACAAGGGAAAAGACTGAGGATTGTATTACTTAAAATGTTCTACACACTTGTCCTGGACTGTGTGCTCAATGGTTAGTGACAGCTCACTCACCAAAAGGTCTCAGGTTTGATCCCTGTTAAGGGCATATACCTGGGTTACAGGTCACTCTCTGACCCTGGTCAGGATGCATGTGGGAAGCAACAGATCAATATGTCTCTCTTTTCTCCCCTCCCTTCTACTCTCTCTAAATCAATGTAAAAAACATCTTCTGGTAAGGATTAACAAAAATAAGTAAATAAATGAGCAAATAAATAAATGTTCTGCACTGTCACTTCCTTGAGCATAGCCTGGATGCTCTCATACCTTCTGGTAAGGATTAACATACATACATGCATGCATGCATGCATGCATACATACATACATACATACATACATCAATGTTCTGCAGCGTCTGTCACTTCCTTGAGCAAAGCCTGATTGCTCTTATATCAAGGAACAATGTCACCCTGTGCCTCCCTCAATCTGAGGAGTGTTTACTACTCTATAAATGAGATTATCAACCTCATTAAAGTGAAATCTTTATGAATGGGACTGCATTTTCATTCACTCAACAAATCCTTACTAACCACTTACAGAACAAAATAGCATGTTCTCTCTTTCTCTCTCTTTATATAAATGTGTGCGCGCGCGCGCGTGTGTGTGTGTGTGTGTGTGTGTGTGTGTGTGTGTGTGTAAATACTAGAGGCCCGGTGCACGAAATTCGTGCACAGAGGTATGTGTCCCTCAGCCCAGCCTGCAACCGCTACATTCTGAGACCCTCAAGGGATGCACAGCTGCCCTTTTAGGTCTAAATGGGCAGCCGGACATCACTCTCACAATCCAGGTCAGCAGGCTCCCAACTGCTCACCTGCCTGCCTTCCTAATCACCCCCTAACCACGCCCCTGCCAGCCTGATTGATACCTAACTGTTCCCCTGCCAGCTTGATTGCCCCTTAATGCCCTCCCCTGCAGGCCAAGTCACCCCTAACTGCCCTCCCCTCAGGCCTGGTCTCCCCCAACTGCTCTCCCCTGTAGGCCTGGGTCCCCCTAATTGCCCTTCCCTGCAGGCCCAGTCACCCCCAACTTCCCTCTACTGCCGACCTGATCATCCCTAACTGCCCTCCTCTACAGGCTTGATCTCTCCCAACTGCCTTCCCTTGTAGACCTGGTCCCTCCCAACTGCCCACCCCTGCTGGCCATCTTGTGGAGGCCATCTTATATCCACATGTGGGCATCCGTCTTTGACCATCTTTGGGGGCAGCCATCTTGTGTGTTGGAGTGTTGGTCAATTTGCATATTACTCTTTTATTAGATAAGATATATAATAAAACAGAAATGGTTCCTTATTTCCCTTATCCTTTTGGGAGCTTATGGTCTAAAAAGCTCCAAAAAGGATATTAAATAAATATCCTGAAAAATATTAAATAAATCAACAAACAGTAGCTAAGTAAATAGAAATTGTAGTATGCACTATAAAGGAAAAGTACAGATGACCATACAACAATAAGAGAAAGAACTTTTTTTAGTTGGAGGGAAGTGAGAGGAAAGACCTCTTTGAAGAACTGTCTCAATAATACCTGTAACCCCAGTGTCACACAGAGAAATTGCTCAATATCTATATAATGAGTAGATAAACTAATGCTCAAGAAAACTTACCAGTAGGAGTGGTTACCAGTTTAGTTGTCATTATTGCACCATTACTACTAACCACCATAATAGGGGAATTGCTACTGGTGGGCAGAGTTGCTGTCACTGGTTTGGGTAAGATTTTACTGGGTTGAACTTGTTGTGTGATGATTTTAACACCTTTGAAAGAAGAAAGATAAATATCAGTACAAACTATTTTTAAAAATGCATGTGCCTTATACCAAGCCAAGAGGGCAGTAGTTATAAACATTACTGCATTTACTCCGTCTTGACTAAAGAGAAGCTTTAAAGTTCATGTGGATAAAAACTCTTCACCAACTTTTGTTTCTCAAATTCCTAATTTCTCATTCAAGAACACAATTAAAACATTATAGAAACTATTGAATTCTTAAATAAAAACAATTTTTTTTCTTTATCTATGATATATAAGAGCTTTCAAATCAAACAGTCATTGGCCTAAACTTTTACAGACAAATAAACAATGTTTCATGAAGATGGGTATGAAAGATTAGGATAAGAAGTCAAAAACAAATGTTAATGTAGCTTTTATATATTCCCAACTGCACCAAGTATTTTCTAATCTCTTAAATTAAAAAGGCTGTTGTAAACTATAAAGAAGCAAAAACGTTTTCTTTTTGAACCTTTATTCTTAAATTGACAGCTTTTTAAAAGTATTAATAGCACATGTTCTCAAATAAATAATAAAGGATACATTATTATTATACCTACAAAAATATGCATTTTCCCTAACTGGTTTGGCTCAGTGGATAGAGTGTCGGCCTGCAGACTCAAGGGTCTCAAGTTAGAATATTCTGGTTAAGGGAATGTACCTTGGTTGCGGGCACATCCCCAGTAGGGAGTGTGCAGGGGGCAGCTTACCAATGTTTCTCTCCCATCGATGTTTCTACTCCCTATCCCTCTCCCTTCCTCTCTGTAAAAAATCAATAAAAAACATATATTTAAAAATAAGCATTTGGACAAGAAGTTAAAGGCAATATGCAAAAATTAAATAAAAATATTAAGGTGGTGAGGTTATGATTCTTTTTTATATTTTTCAAAAATTTTAAATATTATAATTGTTACATTGCCTTTCCAAATGTAAAATGTAAAATTTTATGCTAACTATAACTTCAAATAACAATTGTTAACCGAGGAAGAAAAATTTTGGTAACATTTTTCCCTCCATAACTTCAATGAAATAATTCTGGAGTTGAATGTATTGCACCAGTACTCTAATTTCATGGGATTGAATGTATTGCCATAGACAACTAAAAATTGTATTACTTTTTGGATGGTGATTAGATTGAGACATTAGAAAAATAATAAATCTACTTATTTAATAGCCTTAAATAATTTTAAACTTATAGCTAACAAAGAAGTTAAAATTATGACATCTAAGAATTAGAAAAATTACGTAATCTCTCTCAGTTTTCTCATTTGAAATAAATATACTACTACTATATACCTTCTAGGGCTATTTTACAATAATATTTAATCTTTACAGATTAAATAAATCAAAATTATAAAGTGCCTAGTACATAACAAGAATTCAATAAATAAAGTATTATCATCAAAGAAATAATGAAATCATAATTATAATAAATCATAAACAATAAAGTTCAAGGGGAAAATTATTTTTATTATTATCTCTTTGGTGAATTATAATAACAATGTTTAAGAAACATAAAAAAGAATTTCCCAAAGAAATAACCACAGAGGAAAATTTAAAAGGAACATAAGAGACTACCTTGCTCAGTCCTACAGATAAGCTGAAAATTTGGATGAAATAATTTTCTAGAAAAATATTATTTATCAAAATTGACCTCAGAAAAGAGATGTCTAAATAGACAAATTTCCTTAAAATATTTAAGAGATCCTCCTTCATCACCAAAAAATAGCAGGCCCAGAGCTGCACAGGATAATTCTACAGTCCTTTAAAAAGAAGGTAATTACAATGACACAGATATGTAAAGTATAGTAGAGGGGATATAGTCAGTAACTTTGTAATAACTATATATGGTGCCTGATAGGTACTGAAAATATTGAGGGAAACACTTCATAAAGTATATGATTATCTAACTATTAAGCTGTATTCCCAAAACTAATCCATACTAATAAAAGGACAGTATGCTAATTAGACCGGGAGATCTTCAGGACGTCCTTACGGACAAAGCCATGGTGTCAGGGCCAAGGCAGAGAAAATTAGGAGCAATCAGGCCAGGAGGGAAGGACAGTTGGGGGTGATCAGGCCGCCAGGGGAGGGCAGTTGGGGCAAGCAGGACAGCAGGGGGGGGAGGCAGTTGGGGATGAGCAGGCCAGCAGTGGGGACAGTTGGGAGAGAGCAGGCTGGCAGGGGAGGACAGTTGGGGTGATCAGGCCAGCAGGGAGGGCAGTTAGGGAAGACCAAGCCAGCAGAGGAGCGCAGTTGGGAGAGACCAGGCCAGCAGGGGAGGGCAGATGAGGAGAGCCAGGCCTGCAGGGGAGGGCAGTTAGTGGGGGGTGGGGGAGGGCCAGGCTGGCAGGAGAGGGCAGTTAGGGGCAACCAGGCTAGCAAGGGAAGGTAGTTAGGGGGGACTAAGGCAGCAGGGGAGGACAGTTAGGGATGACTGGGCCTGCAGGGGAGGGCAGTTGGGGGCAACCAGGTCTGCAGAGGAGGACAGTTAAGGGTGATCATATTGGTAGGGGAGGGCAGTTAGGGGTGATAAGGCTGGCAGGCAGAAGCAGTTAGGGGCAATCAGGCAGAGGCAGATGAGCAGTTGGGAGCCAGAAGTCCTGGATTGTGAGAGGGATGTCCTACTGGAATTGGGCCTAAACGAGTGGTCAGACATCCCTCGTGGGGTCCCAGATTGGAGATGGTGCAGGCTGGACTGAGAGACACCTCCCTCCACTAGGCCTCTAATACCTAGTATAATCTGTATGAATCCTGATAGCATTAAGTGAAAAAAAGCCAGTCACAAGAAAACCACACATTATATTATTACATTCATATGAAAATCCAGAAGTCTGCATGGTCAATAACATGTATAAAACTCTAACACTGCTTCAACTGCATATGCACTAGCAAGAGGGGATGACAGGATGTCTTCCCTTGGTGGCTTTGTTACATTATCTGATATACTAGTATATGATGTCCCTACTGCCAAAATTTCTCCAGAGAGATATCTGATGGTATTGTTGCCCTAGGACAGTGGTCGGCAAATTCATTCGTCAACAGAGCTAAATATCAACAGTACAATGATTGAAATTTCTTTTGAGAGCCAGATTTTTTAAACTTAAACTTCTTTTAATGCCACTTCTTCAAAATAGACTCGCCCAGGCTGTGGAAGAGCTACACTCAAGGGGCCAAAGAGCCACATGTGGCTCATAAGCCACAGTTTGCCAACCACGGCCACGGCCCTAGGATATGAAGAGGCTTTCAAAATACTTTCTAAAAATAAAAGTGGGAACTACTATGTTCTTCAGATGATCAGTCTTAAAATCCAGATGAAAATTATCTTTGGTTCAAATTATCTTTGGACTTTGCTAAACCGGAGAAATAATGGTGTCATTATTTAGCAATGATTTTACCAAGATTAAAGATTTGCCAGAATGTGTGCTCACAGACCTCTTCATGGCCACCACTGCTGTGAAATATACATTCAGTCTAACTCTGAGTACCAGGTTACTGACATTGAAGCACAGGACAGCAGTCTCAAACACACTGCACATGCCTTGAAGGAGATAAGGTGAATGAATGCTCTCACTGAAGTTTAACACCAGAGTGAAGAGAGGAGAAATCTCCAATGCCATCAATCAATATGGTCCTGGAACCATCAGCAAGAATGAAGACTGAGCAACATGGAAAGCACTGTGAGGAAGTCCCTGAATTATTAACCAAGCAGAGAAGAAGGAATGATTTGACAAACTTGGTGAAGTTTCTATCAGTTCTGAGCATTCCTGCCTTTCAGGGAGTGGTGTGGCATATATTATTACTCCCACTGCTTCTGCCGCTGACAAGGTTGTGATTGAGGCCTGTGATGAACTGGGAATAATCCTCACTCACGAGTTGTTTCTTTCATCACTGATTTCATCACACATTACTTTAAGGTTTGCTTATATGTGGGTGAAAAATAATTTGGGGGATTTTGAAAATACTTAAAATATTAAGTCTGCATAATTTTTTAAAAATACTTTTAAAAAGAAATGTGGTATATAGATACCATGAAATATTATTCAACCATGAGAAAGAAGGAAGTCCTGCATTTACAACATGAATGGCATTCTGTTGGGTGAAATAAGTCTAAAACAAAACTAATAGAGTTCACAGATACAAGAGAACAAGCAAGAGGTGAGAGGCTGGCTAAAATAGGTAAAGGTGGTAAAAGGCACAAATTCTAGTTATAATATAAACTTGAGGCCCAGTGCATGACATTCATGCACTGGGGTGGGGTGGGAGGGTGTCAATCCATCAGCCTAGCCTGTGCCCTCTCATGGTCTGAGACCCCTCAGGGGATGTCCACCTGCCGGCTTAGGTCTACTCAACATTCCCAAGGGGTCCTTAGTGCTGCCTTGGAGGCGGCAGAGGCTCTTGCCACCGCTGCTGCGCTCGTCAGCCTTGAGCCCAGCTTCTGGCTGAGCAGTGCTCCCCCTGTGGGATCACAGTGACCACCACGGGGCAGCTCCTATGTTGAGCGTCTTCCCCCTGGTGGTCAGTGCACGGCATAACAAACAGTCGTTCAGCTGTTTGGTCAATTTGCATATTAACCTTTTATTATACAGGATAAGTTCTGGGGATGTAATGTGCAGTACTGTGACTATACCAAACAATACTTGTATTGCATATTTGAAAGTTACTAAGAAAGTAGGTATTAAAAGTTATCATCATATGAAAATAAGTTTGTAACTATGTGTGTGACAGATGTTAAATAACCACTTTAAAATATTCAGGGATAGGGAAAAGGAGGTCTACAGTTGTTCAAATGGAAAATAATATAAGAATAAACTGAGTATTGCATACTCACAACTGTAAATCTACTTTTGCCTACCCTTATATACATATAACAAATCATTATGTTGTACACATAAAACAATACAATGTTATACAGCAATTATCTTAAAAAAATAAATGTTTCTATCAAAAAAAAAAAAAAAAGAAAATGTCAGTATCCTCCAAAATACTATTCTATCACCAAATAAAGTCCAGATTCATTAGAGAAAAAAACACCCATTTTCTTTCCTTTTAAAGGTATTAAGTATGTTATGAGGCTTTTTAAATTTCCCTGTGACTCAGCCTCCATCCTACCTGACTTTCTATTCAATACTTTTATGATTTGACAACTTACAATAATTGACTCCTACCTCTGAGTTCCCAATGTGCTGGAGAAGCTTTCAATAAATTGCTAAATTGTTATTCCACAAACCACAAACTTCTTCACTGTACATGATCCTATATATAATAAAAGGCTAATATACAAATTATCTTCCCAGGAGTTCAACCAAGGGGCAGCATGGGACAGCCAACCACCCACAGCCTCGTCCCCTCCCACCCCAATTGGGGGTGGGGCTGGATGGCCATCCTCCTGTGGCCCGTCCCCACAACTGGCCCAGCCTGATCGGCCCTGATCGGAGTGGACCAGCAGGACCTCACTGGAGCACAAATTCATGCACCAGGCCTCTAGTCTATAATCTTAGCACCTCTTCTGCTTTTGAAAATTTTATGTCATATTATTCATAAATATGAACTGCCCTCTAACACACAACTCACCAGACTAATTTTTCAAGTGTTCACTTCCCATGACCCCAAAAGGTCACAGAGTATAATGCTAAAATCTGGGTTTATTTCCTTAGCATTCTTTATCTCTCTTGAGAGTTCATTGAAAAAATAACAACAAACAGCCTCTTCCTGCTGAAAAAAACTTATTCCTTTTCTATTCCCAAGCTCCAGTTCTATATAGGTATTTCCAATAGGAGAGTCTCAAAATACATTTTGGAATTTAAATATTTGGCAATTGAGGAAACTATATATGGAAGTAAATCCATATATATTAGTGGTATTCTGAGAGCTGGTGATTAGAGAAGGATTATAATATCTTGTAAACATTTCCCAGTTACCTGACTCCTGTTTGATTTGAATTGTAGGCTTAATACCAGGTGGCAAAGGAGACTGCTGAGGCTGCTGCTGATGAGACACTGAAGAAGGCTGAGCCACCTGCTGCTGTGTCTGTTGCTGCACTTGATGTAACTGTTGCTTAGGAGATTGTTGATGCTGTTTAGGAAACTGTGCAAGAATCTGAGTTGGGGTACCCACTAAGCTTTTGGGGGAAGGAAGTCTGGTTGATGCCATTTTGATTGCTGATGTTGATACACCTGTAGAATAGTAAGGGGAAAAAAAAAATTCAATAGTAAGGCATAATTAAGGTTACTTCTGGTTATTGTAGCAGATAACACAAACTAGGTAAATCAATAAAAGCAATAATTTATTAATCACCCATTATACGTCAGGTGTAATGTGTGATATTTTACGTATTAGATATCTAATCCCCAAAAGCTTCAAGGGAGGAGGCATCATTTCTCTCACTCTCACAAAAAAAAACACACACAAAAAAAAAAACAATACTGCTTTCCCTTGGTGAAAAGTTAACACAAAAGAAACAAAAATATCAAGCAGGATATTCTCAAACTTATTTGTCAACAGATTTTCCATTAGAAAACATAAGTTCTTAATGTAACATAAAAGCAAAGTAAGTTTTAAATCTTATTTCTAATACATTTCCTTTTAGGTTTAGTGAACCAATTTAAACACGGAATGAAATAAAATAACTGCCCTGGCTGCTGTGGTTCAGAGAGTTGAGTGTCATTCCATGCACCAAAAAGTTGCTGGTTTGATTCCCAGTCAGGGCACAAGCCCAGGTTGTGGGCTCAATCTGCTACCACCCTCATCCCAACCCCCGGGGTATGCAGGAGGCAGCCAATTGATGTTCTGCTCTCACATCCATGTTTCTCTTTCTCTCTCTCTCTTCTTGCTTCTCTCTTTAAAATAAATAAATAAAAATAATTTTAAATAAAATAATTCACAATGAAATATTTATCTTTTGAATTATTTAGCATAGCAAAGTAGCTTTTCTTTATTTCGCTTCCAATAATCTATAAATTAAAGTCTTTTCTTAAGAACTCTAACTGGGTCATTAAATAATCATTTGTCCCCCAGATACTTACACAGACTACAAAAGCCCAGTAGTCAGAATCACAATACAGTCTCTATATTATCATCCCATTAAATTTTATCTTTTTAAAAAGATGCCTTAACTTCTTAGAATAATATAAAAATTAAATATCTCAAACAGAAACTCAAAATCATCAGTTTCCTTCACTATCTACATTCAGATACTTTTATATCCCGCATGCTCTACTGAATTCCAGTGAATTCATGAGAAATCTCTGAGACATCTTGTCCAGCTCCCCTATAACTAATTACTTAAGACTCACAGAGAGATACAGGATGCAAGAAGAAAAGAAGAAAATAAGGAAGTCCTAAGTTCCCAAGAGCTTCAGGGGGTAGCAGAAGAAAATTAAGAATGAAAAACAGAAGCATGGAATATTCATTTTGTCTAAAGATATTTCATTAATAACCAAGAATATTCCTCTTATCTCAAATAAAAACTTAAAAGAACAGTAACCTTTCTGATATAATAAAACTTCAGCAAACTGTAATGAGGACTAGAAGGGAAAAACAACTGTCAATGATAAGAGTTTTGATATAGGGTCAGGTGAACAGACAAGTGGCCTTTGCTTCTCTTACCTTCAAATTTTGAAATGATGAATTTAGATCATGTTTACAACCAGCATTTTAAAGACTTTTAATATAAAATTATTTCTATTTTTAATAATGCTATATTATAGTTAACTATTGCACAAATAGAAAAGTTGGAACAACTTTTTCAAAAATCAGTTAAGGTAACAAATAAAAGAAAATTTCAAGCCTGCTATTTCTTTTTTTAAAATATATTTTATTGATTTTGTACAGAGAGGAAGGGAGAGAGATAGAAAGCTAGAAACATCGATGAGAGAGAGTCATCGATCAGCTGTCTCTTGCACACCCCCTACCGGGGATCTGCCCGCAGCCAAGGTACATGCCCTTGACCGGAATCGAACCCGGGACCCTTCAGTCCCCAAGCCGACGCTCTATCCATTGAGCCAAACCGGTCCCGGCAGTGAATCCTGTTTGTGATGGGCTGGCAGCTGGCGGAGAAAGCAGCTGGACATTGTGTCCTTCAGTAGGCTGGCTAGGGGTCAGAGAAAACAGTCCCAGAGGTCACAGGTTCTCCAGAAAACCCCGGGACCTGCACCTTTGCCTCATGGGGATGTGCCCACAACCAAGGTACATGCCATTGACCGGAATTGAACCCGGAACCCTTCAGTCCGCAGGCCGACGCTCTATCCATTGAGCCAAACCGGTTTCGGCAAGCCTGCAATTTCTTGTTATTGACTGAGACATTAAATGAGTATTAGAGCCAGAAAATAATACCAGATGCTCTCGCATTCTACTATTAGGGCTATAGAAAATGTATACTGACCACACTGCATCTATGTAACCTCTTCCTTACTAACAGTTATATAGAACACATTAAACATGATTAAAACAATCATGAAAAACACTATTTTCCTACTCAATTGCTTGCATTTGCTATTAGTTCATAAACTATATTTCCCAGTCTATCTTGAGCTGTATATTATTCAAGTAAAATCCAATAAAAACTAATATTAGGTTCTGTCCTATGTTGCTTCTATGCTCTTTTTTCATAGATTACATCATGGGTATGAATTCTATATAATAAATACTTCTCTGATCCCCATCTTAAGACTTACCAATCCCACAAAATAAAAATTTCTTAACTGCGTGCTGTTCACCTTTCCTCTGGGAGGAACATAAAAATATAGAACATATCTAACCTGATTTAAGCTAACAGAAGAATGATGTTTCCACATTTCCTTTCCTCTGCTATAAAGAAGCAATTGTCCTTCAGGTCAGCCTCAGTTCCTCTCAATATCTCCCATTACCACTCACCCACACAGAAAAATTTAGGAGATTGAAAAAAGGCAAATGGCATGTCTTTGAAATCATACTTTTCCCCCTACTTTATATCATTGGGTAACTTATTTTTAAGAGAGTACATATTTGATATCTCTGAGTACATAATTATAAACTGAGTGCCTATGAAGAACCTATAGTAAAGTAATTTCAAGTTCCTCATTTGAAAATCCCACTATATTAAAGATATTTGTATACGCCTTGGAAATTTATTGTGACAAGATTTAACCTACACTTGGGGAATGTTAATTACCTTGGTGATTAGATACAATGCGTGTGAATTTGAAAATCTTGAAGTATATTAATATAAGAAAACTGAGTAACCTACTATCTTGACATTCTCGGACTGGGAGAGGGAAAGTGGTAATATGTGATGAAACAGGAGAGGCCTTCAGACCCAAAGCAGAAAAATAAAGAGCTCTCTTCAAAATTCCCATGTAACACAGGAACAGAATTACATGTTGAATGACCACTCACCTTGTGCTACTGTTGACATGACCACAGATGGTGTGGAAGATACCACAGCTGTTACTGCTACTGTATTAGGGATAGGAGAAGGCGTAGAACTGCTGCTGCCACTGCTGCTACTACTGACCAGAGAGGACTGTGAAGCAGTTATGACCACCGGTGGCTTCTGGGTTGTGGAAGCAATTACTGATGTTGGTACAAGCTTAGTGACTGCTGCATAGTTATGGGATTTGGAGAGAATATTGGGCACGAAGGTTGAACTTGGTGATGTGGTCACTATAATAACCTATGAAATGAAAAATAAGTTATTTTCATATACCTGTTATACTAATGTATTTAGACTTGCCGTTACATATAATTCAAAAATAGCTTATGACACAGAAAGTATGAAGAAACAATTTAACAGAAATAAATACACAACTAAAAATATTTAAACAAAAAATTTTTACCAACCAAATATTTTTAAGGACAACATGCAATGCTGTTCAAGACAGTAAAGTAAGAATGTTATCATGATGCTTAGATAATATATATTGGCACAATCTTTCTAAAAAGTAATTTGAATAGTCTTTCATTTGTAAATATTTGTTGAGCATCTACTATGTGCCAGGCATGATTCTAGATGCTAGGGATAGTGGGATAAATAAAACAAAGTTTGTACTTGATGGAACTACATTCTAGTGGGAGAGAATAATAATAAACAAATAAAAAAATTCATGTCACGTTGGAAGAGACAATAAAGCAAGATAGGACATAAAAGAAAATGGAGTGCTTTCTGACTTTTTGTCTAATATTTGATGATGACCTCTATGATAAGGTGACATTTGAACAGAAACTAAAAGTAAGCAACAAAGGGGTAAGAAGCATGTTGCTACCTAGAGGAAGAGTATCCAATGGCATAGGGAGCAGTAAACACAGAGGCCCTGAGGCAGAAGCAAACTTGGTATGTTCAAGAAACTTCAAGGGCCAAATAAATAGGATTGGAATTTATAAGGTAGAAAGTAGTAGGAGACAGATTCAGAGAAGTAATGGATGTAAGATCATGTTGACAGTAAATATCCTTAATCTGATATGATGAAAATGGCACTTTATATCTGTGGCCTTCCTTCTAAAAATCCATAAACCTTGACTAATCATGAGGAAACATTAGATAAGTTGCAATAGTGGGATATCCTACAAAGCACCTAACTGCTGCTCCTCAAAACTGTCAAGGTCATCAGACATAAGGAAAGTCTGAGAAACTTTCACAGCCAAGAGGAGCCTAAGAAGACATGCAATAAGGTATCCTGAAACAGAAAATGACATTAGGTTAAAAACTCAAACAAAAAAAAAATGTGAATAAACCATGGACTTTAGTTAATATCAGTGCATCAATATTGGTTCATTAATTTTTTAACAAATGTACCATACTAATATAAAATGTTAAAAATAATGGAAACTTACTGCAAAGTATATGAGAACTCTCTGTACTGTTTTCTCTAAATATAAAACTATTTAAAAATTAAACTACTTTTTATTTTTATTTTACTTTTAATCCTCACCCAAGGTTATGTCCTATTGATTTTTAGAAAGAGAGGAAGGGGTGAGGCAGGGAGAGAAAGAGAGGTGTGAAACATCGGCTGGCTACTTCCTGTACATACTCTACAAACTAGGTAGTGCCTTGACCAGGAATCGAACCCACAATCATTTGGTGTATGGGATGACACTCCAACCAACTGAGCCACCTGGCCCAGGCAAAAAATAAAGTTGTTTGTGTGTTTTTTAAAGAAAACATTACTCTATCTGCTAGGTGAAAAGTATAGTAGAGCAGAGATAGTAGAAACATAGAAACAGGGAGAAAATTTAAGAGCCTCCTGCAATAAACAGAGATGATGGTGACCAAAGTGTTCATGGTAGAAATAGTGAAAAGTGAAAGATTCTGAATATATTCAAAGAAGAAAACAACAGGATTTGCTCATAGGTTGAAACAGAGAACAGAGAAAAAAAGGGAGTTGGCAGGGGGTAGGGGGCAAGAAAGAGACTTCAGGTATAGCCAGTCTAGCTAAAAACTCTAAATGACATAGGGACAAAGCATTTCAAAGAGAATAGGATAGAGCAAAGGTCCTAAGGTGGGAATTAGCTCAATGAAGTTATAAATAGAAAGCAAGCCACTGGAACAAAACCATATAGAGCAAGGAGGGGTAGAAAAATAAGCAGAGGTCAGATCAAATTTTTAAGCCAGAGTAACGAATTTAAATTGTATACTAAGTATAATGGGAAACCATGGGATGGTTTTACAACAAAAATTGATTTTTATTTTAAAAGATCACTCTAGCTGCTATGTGATAAGATGCAAGAGTGGAAGCAGTGAAGCTAGTAAAGAAGCTTTTGCAGTAGACCAGACAATGACAGAGGCTGCTTGAACTGGGATGCTAGTGGAAATAAATAGAAGTGAGCAGTTTTAGGTTATTTTGAGAGGTAAAGTCAATAGGACTTGATGTATGGAAATGATTGGGTTAAAGGGGGGAAAAAATCAAAATTAGCTCCTAGCGCTAATATGCATTGGCTTATTTAAATCTCTCAACAATCCTATGACGCAGATACTATTATCCCTATTTTACAGTTGAGAACACAAAAATCATTTCTAAGTCTGTAGTATTACAGTTTTATTCTTGGTGTCATAGTGGTATAGTGATACCCAAAACAGAGCTGAATAGACATTTTATCAAAATTTTATCAAAATTTCTTGTACCAAGGGCAAAAAAATTGTTTTGAAAAATCTAAAGAATTTAAGGTAGCGATCCTTTTTCATTTTTACCAATCCTAAAGAAGGCCTAAAGTTAAATCAGTTAGTCAAAATTTACTGAGTATGTCTATACTCAATACCTACATCTCAAAGCAGCTTTGGCTAAATCTTATTATATATATTTCAAGTGTTATCTCTATAATTAGTACATGTCCATTACTTTAAGGACTCAAGAGACAAATACACATCATGACCAGCATACTTCTATATAGACTTGATGAGCAAATACCTATATAGTTATTACAAAAACAACCATCAGCCATTATGTAAACTGAGAAGACGGAGACCAGTATGGTAAAAAGATCAGAAACTTAAGAGTCAAAAGAACCTGAACTTAACCCTGCACTGCCATTGACAAATAGTGACCCTGGACATGTTTCAAATCTGTGCTCCAACTTTTATCTATAAAATAGGGATAATAATACCTACCTTGCAAATCATTTCAAGGATTAAATGAGATAATGATGTGAAGCATCTAACATAGTGCCAGGCACATAGCAGATGGTCAATATTTGGCAGTCAACAAATGGTACTTTTTAGTAGCTTATTATTACTACTTTATAAGTGTTAATAGGATATCAGCAAAGGTGTTATAAACCAAATCAATCTGGAAATAAAATGTACTTATTTTTGCCACATTAAAAAATTTTAGATAGCTTTTTCCAAAATTCTGATACCCTGTGTATTCAAAGAATTCACATAGCTACTAACACAGCCAAACAAATTAGCGTAATAATGGCAATTAGGTTTCACATTTGTCAATTCTGAACTAATAGTTGTTGCTTTCTCAAGCACAGTGTTTATAAGGACTCTGTGGCACAGATGAGGATTTGCCAAGGTTTGGCAAGAAAGCATGACACAGTTAATTTGCAATGTCTGTCATGGCAAGGGAAGGGAAAGCATTCATACTTGTGTCAAATATTGCAATTTCAGAATTGGAATATTTATGTAGGCTTCTAACATTAAGACAACATAATTTCAGCACAATAAATCTGGAGTCTTTAAGAGCATGTTTTAGGTTATAGATACAAAGATAAAACATATTTGAAATTTCAGTCTTTGAGTTGATTTTTTTATCTGAAAAGGGAGTATTCAAAATTAGAGATCTACCTTGAAGAAAATTTACTTTTACTTTAAAGTTACTTATTACAACAGGGAAAATAAAGGGATTTTGAAACCAAGTGAACCAAACAGTGTTTATTCAGGCCATAATTCAAATTACTGACCTTCTAGCACTCACAAAAACTCCTTAAGAGTGCTGGGACTTGCACCCTAAGGATAAAATGAAAAATATAAATCAAGCACATGAAAGCATAAAGCTATATTCTGTTGCTTTGTTTATATTAAGTGCTATACAATGTTATACTTAAAAAGTTGGCACCACATTAACATAGGTGGAAGTTTGTCTACCCTGAAAATATATGACCTATTAGAATTTGAATCAAGTCCACAAAATCATAAATAATTATATTTAATGTAAAAGTCACTTTACCTAAATTAATTCCTAAGTTGACTTACATAGGATTTGTGAGAAATCCAAGGTGAATACAATAATGTCAACAGCCTTACAAAGTTTTCAAAAAAAAAAAAAAATCCATCTTCCCAGCAAAATAAAAACAAAAAAACAACAATATCTATTAGTCCTACCCATACTCAGCTTGTCCAAGAAATAATAAAACTAATGGTAGAGTGTACATGAAGTAAGAGTAGCTTTGCATCTGGAACACAGTAAATAATAAATATTTGAGGAATCAATGAATCTTATTTTTAACATAATTTGTTTTAAATGTTTATTTTTTAAACACACTAGAATAAACCTAAAGTTCTGAGGCTGAAATCTCATGGTATGACTCATATATGACTTTGGAGATAAATATGCCCTCTTATAAACATCACAAGTGTAACGACCTCAACTATCCATTTTCATAAGTCAGAAAGAAAAAAAATAAAGTCACTAAATTTAAAAAAAAGTTCACCAACTTTACTTACAAGCAAACCTCCATCTATTATAAGTATATTTATATAGGTCTACCAAAGAAGATTGAAAGGTTAATAATGTTAGGTAACAATTTCTGAAAATTCAACAAATGCACTGTGTAAAGCACTTTCCATGAATCATCTCATTTAATTATCCCGATAACTCTAGGAAGTAAGTACTGTCATTAACTTTGTATTATAGCAAACTGAGGTTCAAGAATAGTGAGAAAGCCAGTACTGGAACCAAATCCATTCGTTCATTCATTCATTCATTCATTCACTATTCAACAAATATTAACACCTACTACATCCCAGACACTATTCTAACCACTGAAGAATACAGTGATGAGTAAGACAAAGTCTCTACTCTTAACAATTTCTACTCTAATAGGAAAGAAACAAATATGTAATATGATGTGAACTAGTTATAAGCATAATAAATAAAAATAAAACAATAAGGAAATAGGCATGGATAGGAGGTGGGTGCTCTTTTAGCTATAACTTTGCTACACTATTACTCAAATTTAGAAAGTAGGAGAGAAGGTAGAGGAGAGAAGAATTACTGATAAAATAAGATCCAGCAAAGAAGTCAGTAAAAAAGTTATAATACATTGCCACATAATACAGGGTTAGCCCAGAAAGCAATAATTATATTATAATAATATATAAAAAGTGATATTCAAAAAGCCTACCTTGGAGACATCAAATTACAAATACAAAATTTTGTTCAGTATAACTTTTAAGAAGTCATCAAAAATAGTCAATTTCTATATATTAAGGGGTAAGCTTCAGTTAATTGATGAGTTTAGTTACTTGAAACAACCCACTCACAATGATGCAAATAAATAAAACACTGCTTTCCATAAAATAACTGCATTGGAAAGGAGCTAACATTTTTGAGTACACACATGATGTTGTACTTTAAAATATCCTATCTCATTTAATCCTCACAATCATCTTTTAAGACAGGCATTATTCTCAACTCACAAATGGATAAACAGATTTAAAAAGACTAATTTATCTTACATCAAACTGAAAGAACTGGGGTTCCATCCCAGGCCTCTTTACCTAGAAAAGTCCTTGTTTGATTTTTTTAAAAATATATTTTATTGATTTTTTTTTTTACAGAGAGGAAGAGAGAGGGGCAGATAGCCAGAAACATCTATGAGAGAGAATCATCAATCAGCTGCCTCTTGCACACCCACTACTGGGGAACTGCCCGCAACCAAGGTACATGCCCTTGACCGCAATCGAACCCGGGACCTTTCAGTCCACAGACTGACGCTCTACCACTAAACCGATGCTCTACCACTGAGCCAAACTGGTTTTGGCCCTTGCTTGATTTTAACACTACCCATAATGCTCATTCTAAGATGGAAAATAGAATTATAATTCCACAGATCAACTTATTATCACTTCTACTTAATTAAGAAAATGATATTTTTTATATATTAGCTAATGGTACCCTTTTAGAAAACTCAAGGAGATTCTTTAAATGAAGGTCATAGCTGAAGATTGAAAGGTGGAAGATCACATATTGAAAACAAAAATTTACCTCCACTCTCTCTCCCAAATTCCTCTAACAGTATGAACAGATTTTTTTTAAAGGAAAAAGCCGCATAAGCCTGGAAAGTCAAAATGGAAAGGAGACAATAGCTATAAAACTTTTGGAAACTGGAAAACAGACAAGCAATAATTGATCAAGCATTCCCAAGAGAGTGAAAACCTAAGACAGCAAATAGAACAAAAACAAGACAACTTGTATCAGAGAACCCCAGACTCAGCAACTGAGAGCACAAAATACTTCTGAAGTGGGGATAAAAGTAGAACTAGAGAGAAAAAAATTAGCTGAAAGTCTGTTTAAATAGCATTTAGATTCCCAGTTATCCTCCCCCATCCTAAAGAAAGACTAAATCCAAGGGAATTTGATGACATCAAGATTTACTGCTCTATGTAGGAAACTGAAGATTCTCCTCTGAGGAAACTGAGTGGAGAGGGTGCTATTTTGAAAACAGAGAGTAAAGTTTATATACTTAATGATGGGGTTATCCAGCCCTCTCTCTCCATTTACTTTCAAAATAAGGGCAGAAAGATTTACTGCTCTAGGTAGGAAACTGGAAGATTCTCCTCTGAAAAAATGGATCAGTCCCTGAAAAAGCCCCAAATTATAGTGACAGCTTAATGGAGGTAAAGGGATAGTCAACCAGCTAGGTTGACTACAAAGAAAGTCACCAGCCACTCTATACACAGAATTTTCTGTCAGTTTTTTAATGCCCACTTTCACATATAATCAATAGCCAGCATTTAAGAAAACTCTGATATGAGAGGTCAAAACAAACAAATAAAAGAAACTTACAGATAAAAGAGAAAACATCAAAAATTATCCTGAGCTATCATAAAAGAATAGAGTGATTATATGAAAGAGCAGGATGGTATATTTTTTTTTTAAAAAAAAGGAACTTTCAGAGAATAAAAAGTAATTACCAGAAATTTGAAGTATGAGAGCAAAAATAAAAATTTCCATAAAGTAGTGAAGGATAAAGTTAAAAAATACAGAGAAATAATACTTATAAAGCATTATGTGCTAGACTTTATTCTAACAGTTTTACATTTATACCCAGAGAATCCTATAAAATGGATATATTATTTTCCCTATTCTACAAATAAGAAAACTTAGGTCTAGAGTTTAGTTTTTCCAGTCACAGATATTAAGTGGCAAATACAATACTGAAATTTGAATTTAAAAAGTCTAATTCCAAAATCCAGGCTTTTAACCATTATACTAGAGCAGAAAGAAAAAGCAAACAAATGGAAAATGTGAGTGAGAAAAGGATAAGAACAACGAAAGAATCAATCCAAGCAGTTCAATGTCATGAATAATAGGTGACTCAAAAAGAGAACAGAAAAAAATCAAAGAAATAAATGAAGGAGGCCACTCAGTACACAACTCAATGGATTAAAAAAAGGACTCACACTAAAAAAGTTACCTTGAAACTTCAGAACTCTGAAAATTACTGAGTTTTCAAAAAAAAGAAGAGGATCTGAAATTAGAACAGCATTGGGCTTCTCAAAAGTAATACTGGAAGCCAACAGCGAGTGGAGCGATAGCTTCAAAATTCTTTTAAAAAAATGACTGCCACTCTAGAATACTTCCCCATCAAGAAAGTGGGAGGGTAGAATAAAGAAATTATCAGTCCACCATGTAAGATCTCAAAAATATACTCTCCATCCATTTATATACCAAGAAGTTACTGCTGGATATGCTCTAGCAAATGAGTAAATAAACCATGAAAGAGGAATAGCAGGATGCAGTGAACGAAGATTCCAGAAATGTAAGTGTGCAAGAAGCCTAGGATGCCATCAACATCCAGATTAGTGCGGGAAGTTAGGGGTGTCTAGTAAGATGAAATTGACAGAATACCGATGATTCCAACATACGGAAGAAGAGTTTAGGAATAAACTGATGATAGCAAACAAGAACAAAAAAAAGACAATTATTCATTTAATCATATGCTTCCTTCTTATATGAAACCCTAACTCTGATAACTCTGTTACTCTAGCAAAGTAAAAACTGAGTGCCTAAAGGTAAAGTCATCTTATCTAAGGTAAAAATAATCTTTCATATTTAATTTTTTCCAAGTAGCATTACAATAATAAAATAGAATAAATGTCTTAGAAGCATGGGATCTGCTAACTGTGGCATATTAGGCAAGTCATTTGGCATCTCTGAGCCTCATCTAGAAAAAGTGAAATACCTATCCCAAAGCTGTTTGTGCAGAATTAAGAAGATGTGAATATTCCCAGCATAATGCCAAGCACATAGTAAGTACTCAGTGCATGTTTGTTAAATCTGAACTGTACTGAAAGAGACGGAAATAGCAATTGGCAAGCAGAGACTCCCACCACTATATACCTTCTGTGTTGTTGTGTTTGTCGTCTGTGTTGATGGTTTGGTGAAGGTTATTTTCACAGGAGACATGTGAGGTGGTAAGGAATTGGCAATGCTCTGCATGATATTGCTCATCTTGGGACTTCCACTCACAGGCACAGTGATTGTCTTTGAGACGGGAACAACAGCTTTTGGAACTTCCTTTAGGACAACAGGGGAGGAGCTAGAAGAGTTTGTTCGCCTGCGTTTTCTGGGCTTTTCATCTTCATCTGAACAGCTAACACCTGAAAGACAAGGACAATCTTGCTATCTTTATAGCAATTTAACAGTATTTTACACCTTATTTTAATATCTTTGTATCATTAAATCATCCTTAACCTGCCGCTTTTCATGCCCCGTCAGTAGTAAGTCCCATCAATCCTCCTACAGAGAAGTTGTCTCTGAATGCCTTCTTTCCTATGTTAATGGCAAGACTCTCTTATCGCCTGCCTATATTTTAGTAACAACCTCCTAAAAGGCTTGTGCTTTTTAATCTCTACTTCTTTTCCACCCGCCAACCTACTACCAGTTATAAAATCTCATGGGAATGCCCTGCTTCAAATTCTTTAACCGTTTTTATCTTCCTACAAGATAAGGCACAAAATTATTACTATATCAAAGTCCCATATTTTTACAAGAACACAATAACCTGTTCCACTCAACCCTGTGTACCTCTATAATCCTGGTACACTGAACTGCTCACCATTCCCCAAAGCCTTACCACACTCTATCCATCTGAAGTCTCTATATGCTGCTGCTGTTTGGGGAATACTACCTCCCATCAACGACCACTTCACCATGGTACAATCATCATCCTGCAAGCCATCTCCTCAGTGAATCCATGTCGCCTCTGAGCTTATAAAGCACTTTGTATATTCTCTTCTTATCACTTACTCCATGAGAATGTGACTGTCATTCTGCATATCTCCCATAATTAAGGGGTACCAGAGGAAAATGACTAAGTCTTATTGGTTGTTTCCCTGGCATCATGCCTTGCACATATAAAGTTAAGTGAATGAATTATTCTATCCCAAACTAATGTTGCCTGTGTAACTTCTGAGAATAAAGCAACATACTTCTTGTTACTTCAAACTACATGTTATGTAAATGGTTATTTTATGGTTAGGTTCACTTTGAAGGTTTTAAAAAAACTATTAAAAAGTAGATCTCTAAAGTTATGTTAAAAGACCATCTTGGATAAATCCACAGAAATCAGACATAAATTTAATAGTCCCAAATTCTCAGTATTTTATGTACTAAAATCTCAACTGTTTGTTTGTTTTTAAAATCAAGTGAGAAACATAAAACCTTGCAACACACATACAAATCTCTACGGAGAAGATATTTTTTTAAAAGATACAACATTACTCATGGAACTTGTAATAAAATACAACTCCTTACATGTTTAATGTTTAGAGTCTAATTTAAACAACATTGACAATGATCTAAAATCATTCCTGTCTAAAACAGCTAATTCCACCTCTAACAGTTATAAAGAAATCAAGTTTATAATTATATTGACAAAAATCAAAATCAAATATTAATGATCTCTAGTTAACATCAAAAGCAGAAAAATAGAAATAGATATTAAAAACCAAAAAAATGATCACCCTATCTGGTTTGGTTCAGTGGTTAGAGAGGAGGCCCACGGAGTGAAGGGTCCCAGGTTCCATTCCGGCCAAGGGCCCATGCCTCGGTTGCAGGGTCGATCCTCTGGCCACAATCTGGGCATGTGCAGGAGGCAACCAATCGATGTGACTCTGTGACTCTCTCACATGGATGTCTGTGTTTCTCTCTCTCTCTCTTTCTCTCTCTCTCCCTTCTACTTTTCTTCCCTCACTCCAAAAATGAATGGAGAAAAACAACAACAACAAAAAAAATGAACTGGATATTAAACTGCTTTACAGGATAGAATCGAGGGGTTAAAAACTGCAAATAAACTTCAAAAAATTATAGTCAATTAGAAATATAAAAGATGGACCGCCTAGAATGCTTCACTGAATCTAACAGATAAACAGATAATGTCTGTAATTTTTTTTAAAGCACTACAAAGATTACAATTGTAGGAGTAAACACTGAATGACTTACATAAGCACATTCTTCATTTCTACTCCCATTTCTATTCCATGACAATCAAAACAACTAAACACTTGAAGGATAGCACTATTCAAGGCATTTTCCCCACAGAGAAGAAAAGAAATTTCTCAACTCCAGAACTAATTAAAAAGCAATATATAGCTAGTCACGTGTAAAGAATTCTTTAGAACCTCCAAAAATCTAACCACCGCTAATAGCCAGTGGATCAATGATTTAATCCAAGAAAGCAGATCTAATCAGAGCCTACGCTGCAGCATTTAGCCAGGAAGATCCTAATAACAACACTGAGAATATCACTTACTTTTGACATAAACAGTACTTCCACTTGGCAAGACAACTACATTGGAGGCAGGACTGGCAGGTCTTGGAGACTTAACCGTTGCTATGCTGCCACTTGGAACAGGGGTAGAGGTTGGGGTTGACGTGGTACTTGTGTAGGAATAGCAAACCACTACTGAAGGAACAATAAAAAAAGTCTGCTGTTAACTTTCACGAAAACTGTCCACTCATATAGAAAATTAGTTTTTACCGCAGGCTAATTTTAATGTTTTCATGTGATCAGAAGTTAGAGGGCAGTGCTAGATATTAGGTTTACAAGTTAAAAGGTATTAATAACCTTTTGAACATGATGAAAATCATCATGTAACTGGGTTTCCCCAAGTATTTAACAGGTGACACTGCCAATAGAGAAAAGTGCAGTTATAAAGAAATCAAGTCTAAAACTATCTAAGAAAAATTAAAATCATTTTCCAATTTCCATTTATAGCAGGAGTTAAACAGTACTTACATTCCCTTTTAATATTAATACCAGCACCAATGATGCAGTGGTGGATAATTTTTTCCTATCCATAGCAATTTCCAACTTGGCTACTAGAGCAAACAAGGCAAGGTTCCTTTATTATAAACCAACTCACTAGTCACTTGCCATCCAAGCAGTGCAACAATAACTCAACTAAAGTAATGACAACATATATTTCAATATCTTGAATAACAACAAGAAACAAAAATAACTCATAGGCACCATTTACTGAGTACCATGTACTACACTAAATCTTTGTCTTTTATTATTACTAACTAGAGGCCCAGTGCATGAAATTCATGCTCAGAAGGGGAGGGGGGTCCCTTCAGCACAGCCTGCACCCTCTCCAATCCGGGATCCCTCTCACAATCCTGGACTGCTGATTCCTAATTGCTCACCTGCCTGGTCACCCTTTACTGCCCCCAACTGCCCACCCTGCTAGCCTAGACACTCCTTACTGTCCCCTGCCAGCCAACTCAACCCCAACTGCCAGCCCCCGCCAGCCTGGTCGCTCCCAACTGCACCCCACCCTCCGCTGGCCTGGTCATCCCTAACTGCCCCCTCTATTGATCTGGTCACCCCTAACTCCCCCTACCTCTGCTGGCCTGGTCACCCCACGCAGCCTGCTTTTCCATTCATTTGGTTGTCCCTCACTAACTCCCCTGCCGGACTGGTCATAGGCAACCATCTTGTGAAGGTGTGAGGGTCAATTTGCATATTAACTCTTTATTATATAGGATTGTTACAATACCAATCTACATTTTAAAGATGAGGAACCCAAGGTTGACAGAAGCTAAAAAACTTAATGTAGTTCACAGAGCTAGGAAATGGCAAAACTAGTATTCAAACATAAATTTGACTATTGGAAATCCTATATTCTTTCCACTCTACCAAAGTTGTGGTTAGAAAGGGTTAAGTGGGAAGAAAAGATACCTCTCCTACAACAAACAAATCAGAAACTCAATGGAGGTCAAGTTTGCACCCTGGTAACTGTCTCTGAATATAACTGTTTCAGCTTAAAGAGAACTTGGCATGCACAAAAAGGGTATCTCACTCTGCTCCACAGCCCACTGCTATTCCAAAAAGACAATTCCCCAAAGTCAGCTGACAACTACATTATTTTCAAGGTCATTTTCATGCAACACCAAAGTAAGCTACTAAAAGTCAATCCAATGTGCACTCTCAATTTTAATATTACTCTTAGCGACCTCAGGAAAATTCAAAGATTTTTAAAGTATGTGTCAACTACTAGATTAAGTAACAGTAAGAAAGCTTCCTTCATCTGCCAGGTAATCCCTAACGGATTTGGCACACTGAGTGGAATAGAGACACAGCATACACCACTGATTCCAGAAGACAAAAACAGAACTTTATATTGTAAAGAATAAGTTTAGCATCTTTCACCAGCAGCTAAGTGACTTTTATTATCTTACTTATTTTTCCATGTCACCCATTAAAACCTTTTATTCACTCCTAACAAAACACACAAATCTCAATAATTCATTCCAAGAAGATTTTTTTTGCAATTTTTAAATTAATATAATTTACACTTTGCATAAAAGGGGGAGGAAATTAATTGTGGCTGAGACTAAAAACTTAGCAGTTTCTAGTTTCAGAATAAAAATTGCTCATTGATTTGCAACCTTTAAACTGAGATATAAACAGTTAAACCTCTGAGATATAAACAGATAAAAAATAACACAACTTTTCTTGAAGAATCTAGGAAAAGTCTTCTCTATACACAGATATTTTTCTACTCACCTTCCTTGCTCCCTGTCTCTGCAGGCGCTGGAAGAGATGCATTGTGCTGGACAGCTGCATTGGCAACAGCGTTAGCTGTCACAGTGAAGGCAGTTTGAGGAACCAGCCGGGGCATCAGTGGTACCAATCGACGACCTTCAATGGACCATTCTGAAGAGCTATTAGGTCCAGACATACTGAACAAAAAAGAAGACGCTGCTACAAGAGTTTTCAATCACGAAAAGTGAATCAAATATGTTTTGCTCAAACAAATACAACTTTTTACATTTAAAAAGTACCTCAGGTGAAAAGGAGAAGCTTCATTTTAAGCAAGTAAGATCAAAATTATAAATAATTAAAATTCAGGGAATTTCATATTTACTTAGCTTCTTACATATCTTATTCCATCATCTGATTATAATGAATATAACTGAAACTATAAAAAAATTTTCCTATGCTTTCTAAATAAATATCGGTATTATTTTCGTTAGTTTAAATCCAGTGGTATGGATGAAATCTAGTTTTCTACTAACTTTTCTACTTAATTTTATAATTAAACTAGAAAGGTAAAAAGAACTCAATTTTAAAAATCAAATTTTCCTCAACAATTAAGGATGGAATTCAGTGAACCTTTGCAAAATTATCTAACTGCCTGCATGGCCAGAGGTTCTAAGGCTTTCAAAGATGGAAAACTGAAGGCAGTAAACGAGGGAGACTGATGGGTAGAAGGCAGCTGTATATATCACTGCATATTTCACTGGCAATATTATCATTATATATGATAATCCTTATATTATTTTTAAAAAGACTAGATCTGAGGACACTGGGAGAAACTGCCACTATTTTAATTTTATTTATTTATACCACTCTTCACGGTTAAGTATTTTGAGGCTGCTGAACTCTATCCTCAAGCAGACACTAATTTGTTTGTTTGTTAGTCCTCACCCGAGGATATTTTTTCCATTGATTTTTAAAGAAAGTGTAAAGGAAAAGGGAGAAACAAGAGAGAAACATCGATGTGAGAGAGACACATTCACTGGTTGCCTCCTGTAGGTGCCCCGACTGCAACCAAGGTTCATGCCCTAGCCCAGAATTGAACCCGAGACCCTTCAGTCTGTGGGCCGGTGTTCTAAACGCTGAGCAAAACTGGCTAGGCTCTTGAGCACATTTTATCCCAGGAATCCAAACAGGTTGAAATATGAAAAGATAGTTGTATCTCCTCTCTTGGCCCTGTAAAAGGTAGTTGTGTCACTTCTCCTGATTAATGATTAGGGTTGAAGTTAAATATTCACTTAGAGTCAATCAATCAATCTCTTCACTAAATCAGAAATATTTCTATATCTTTTGCAAAATCAAAGATTCTATAACCTAGAGTTTAACACTCTCTCTGTCCACTGATTCTTCATATTTAGGGTACAGAAAAGCCCTTATTAGGGGACAATAATGATGATGATGGTTGTAATTATAATAGCTAACATAAATTAAACACTTTATCTCTGCTATGGCACTATTCTAAACATTTTACATGTATAATAATTAACTCATGTAATTCTTTCAAAAATCCTATGAAATTGGTAATACTATCTTCACTTTGTAGATAGGGAAACTGATAGTTTAACAACTTGCCTAAGGTCACACAGTTACTAAATGCCTCTTTCAACAAGCATTTATCATGTTACTGAAATTATTCACATTACAAGTAGAGCATATAAAGATTTTCAAATGTGTTTTATGTCTAACTTTTGCTTTTGATTTATACTAATCAGGCACTGCTATCTAATTACTACCAACTTTCACTAAATAGAACAAATAAAATTACAACTTGAGAAGGACTTACATTCCATTCAGAAAGGAATTTCTAGGAGTTGATGAATTCAATTGGGTTACTGTGGGAAATATGCACATTTCCTCATCATTTAACACTGTCTTAAGACAAGAGAAAGAGGATTTCCTAAGACCCCCTCACAGATCTATTAACACATTATCTCCACATTGATGCTAGTTCTGAAACAGAATGGTATAAACAAGAGAGGCAGGAAACAGCTATAGCTAACTGTCAAAGGAAAAAATTCGAAAAGATATTCAGCATTTTCTTGGCTAACTCCTATTTTGCTACCATTTTATTAGAATATCACTAATAAATGTGCTTAGTGAGAGTTTACCACACAAAGTGTTATCTACACTTACCTGGTGCATTGTTTAAATGGTGGTAGAAATTATGGAAGATTAATAATTTCAAACACATGAACATATGCTATTGAAAAGAAAATTTGCAGCGCAAAAGACATACTGAAGTTTTTAATATATAAATCTTCCAAATTTCTACTCATGCAAATATGCTCAAACTTTTTTTAAGTTATGAAAAATTAAACATCATGTTAGAATTAGATTTTAAAAAATTCCTCTCTGCTTAGCAATGAAGGTATAAATATGCATTAGTTGCACAAGTCATCTAAACTAAATTTTAGAAATTTTTGTAAATTACTTACTCCAGGGCTTCTCTGGCACACCTAAGTTATATTTAGATGTAGGAGGCAAAGGAGGGTGGAAACCTTGTTCCTGCCCCTTATCTAATATGATAACTAATAAAACTGCCTTGGCCCTCACATCCTTTGGTGAAAAGGGCATTAACAAGAAATCATCATCCTCACATAGAAACTCACACAGTCTGCTATGATATTGGGCTGATGAAAAAGGAGTTAGGAGAACAATAATTCCAGATAACCTCTTTCTCTGAACTCTGGCAAGAGTAGACAAATTAATGACTCTGAAGGTTCTTGATATTCCAGGCTTTAATACTATAATATTCTGACATGTTTCAAAACTGAATTCGATAAACAAACTTAATGGCCTGGTACCAAATAATAAAGAAGTGTTATGCTTCAAGCCACAGGCAAGGTTTTTCTTTGATTCCAGACACCCCACTCCTTTTTTTTTCTACCTCCTTTGTGCTCAGTCTTCTCAGTTTTCTCTTCACCTTTCAACCACATTCCTTGGGCCTAAGCTGATATTTTGAGTGGGGGAAGGAAGGGAGAGAAGGGGAATGCAGTCAATTCAGATGCATTCTTCCTTGGCTAGAGTTGCTTTTTTCCGGCTCAGAGTATGACACCCTCCTACAGATATTCTTTAAAACCAGATTCTGCTGCTACCTCTTAGGGAAAGACAGAGGAGATGGAGCAAATGAGGGATCCATGCCTTCCTCACCACTGCCACTCTGACGGTTGGGCTCAACAAATAAAAGTGCCATCTGATCAAACTAAAACCACAATATAAAATATTAAAACAGAAATATGGAAAAAACCTAAGAAGTTTAAAATTATACACTGAAGTAAACACTTCAAAAAATTAAATTCGTGTATTAAAGAAATCAGAAGGGGGAGGGGAACACAGTCAGATAAAAGCCAACTCTCAATTATCCATGCTAATAGAGGAGGGAAAGGGAGAGGTCAAACAGATTAAAGAAACCCACATATTACCTAAAAATACTTTGGCAAATACTTGAAAATTATTCCACCAAACTTCTCCAGGACAATAAGTAATAAAATTACTAATTAAAAATTTCACCTCCTCTCCCTTCCCACCCTCTGACTGGAGTACTCCCAAGCAACAAAATGGCTAAAGGGTGGACAGTATTAGGCGAGGGAGAAGGAGAAGAGAAGGAAAAGCAAGGGGCAAGGTTAAATTGTAAATGGAATATGCGCCCCTGAATAATTGAGAGCTTCAATTTTGAAATAAATACAAGAAAAAGCCTGAAATAATAATAACCTATTTGCATACCTGTAACTTGGTCTTTCACCCAAATATAAGGATAAATTCATTCTTTAAAGGGGAAAAAAGGAAAAGGAGACTAAATAAATGTTATCTTTTAAGTATGACACTGATGCATCAACTTACAACTATTGCCCCACAATACTATTCCAATGGTTTTAAGGTTTACTAATATTGTATCTAAATGCCTCTGTATACAAGCTACTATTAACTACTTTATTATCTAGCACATTACTTTCCCATTACCAGTTCTCAAATTAGAATCTAGGCTCAGTTATTACTTTTTGAGCATAACAATTCAAAAATTTACAGTAAGTTAAAGAAGGAACACATTAATATTTTGTTCCATGTTGACCTGACAACTAAATATTTAATATCTCTAATGAAAAACTGCCAGCTTTCTACAGTGCATACATATCTACCACTGAAAGCTCTCAAAATTCAAATAGCTAAACTTTCAAACTATGAGGTTAAAAAGACAGCACTCCATTTTATAGATTAAGTAAAATGAGGAACAGTGAAGCACAACATGAAGCTAATGGATCTTCAGAGCCAATTAATTTAAATGCACTATTTATCACATCATAAAAATAAAAAACAAATGAATTATATTTTATGAAATGTTCCTATTATCTTGCATTAACATTTAAAGGATTAACTTCTGTTCCTTTCTATTCTTTAGGAGGCACTGTCTCCATACATACTCTACTGTTTGATCCTTGCCCTTAATCCTCTATCACCCTCTACCCCACCTGCCAAACAGTTATAATGATTTTAAAATAATTTGATAAGAATCCTTTATAATTGTATTTTGTTGGCTTTTAAAAATATATTATATTCATATGTCTTAATAGCAGAACACATATTTTATAATCTTTTTGTGAATCTCAAAACATGTGACATATTAGTTATCAAAAAATTTAGAATGCCTATTTATAAAGCAATATATATAAATATATATCAAATACCATTACAAAGAACCTCTAAGGGAATGTCAAATTTGGGGAGTATACTAATTTGTTACTGAACTCTGCTTCAAGTGAATCATCCGCTAAATTCTGGGGGCCTTTAGTTTTGTAGAGATTACATTGTAACGGGATTTGAACTGAGTATTTAGACTTGCCTAACCAAATGCAGTAGCATAACCAATTGAATAAACAGTTAATAGCATTATGGTCAGAATCCCCGAGTAGAGCAGTATCACTATTAAGATAAAAGACTCAGGAATCTGCTACATAATAGGAAGACTGTTTCAAAACTATATTATACTATGTCATAAAAAATCAGGGGTGGTATGACTAATGGCTTACTTATGTGCAATTGTTGTTAACCGTTCATCGTTTACTGCTCTCCGAACTTCAGCACGGTGGCGTTCTGTTGAGATGCTATGAAAAAAAATAGCCATTATAGAACTCTGTCAAGCAGGCAGCTCTTTTCTACACTTTTATTAATGTTTAAGCCAACATTGTACTTGGGGTGGGAGGGCAAAGTTGATTTGTGAAAAGATATAGATGGGAATCTAACATTTATCTTTAAATGCTTTATTTAATTAAATTCAAAGAAAAAGATTCAGACTGATTCTGTGTAACTGCAGAATTAGCTGAAAATCTGAAACCACAGGAAGACAAATTCAGATCAAGCTTGATCTGAAGTCAATGCCTCAAAAACTCAGTAATGTCAGACTGATCAAATTAGTATAGGTTCCTATTATCTGAATATCAAATTCACTGAATGATCTCTAATCACTCAAGAGAAAGTCTTCTGAAGTCCTCTCTAAAGCTCACGCAGAGTCTATAATTTTATGTTCAATGAATATAATAAAGAAATGAAAGTGACAAGATAATCTGTTTCTAGTGGCAACTTGCTATGAAACTTAATACCAGGATATTACTCCTTTATTACTCCATATTTCAGCTATGTGTCTTTACAGTATGTCATGTTACCACTATGGTAAAAATGTGCTTACATTGAACCTGGTTAAATACATGTAAAGTTAATACTAAACAATATTGAAAATACTAAAACAATACTGAAAAAAGGCTACAACATTCCATTCAAAAGTAATAAAATAAATACCACTTTTCAAATTGTAGTGTTTAATGTGTAAGCTAAATCTATTCCATGGATTAAAATAAATTTAAAGGACTAGAAAGCAGAATTTATGAGGAAGTATATACAACAAAAAAACAAAAAACATAAATTATTAAACATGAAGACAGTAAGATTGATGATTTGGCTTAATAATGTCCCTGTATTAATGTTAATATAGGGAAAGCCTCTTCCCTACTTTCACTTTTTAAAAATTGTTTTTAAATGCAGAAAGGAAACTTCAGTTAAAACAGAACATTTTCTGAGAAAGCTCAAGATATTAGAATGGCTTAATCAAAATATCAAAGAACCCCTTCTACAACAATTTTTTAATGGATTCAAGTGCCACTCTAATAGGAAGCTGAAGGGATAAACTATCCTTAAGGCTATGACTACATAATCATCACCATTTCTATAAATTAAGACAACTGCCTAGTATCTCCTTCTTCTCCTCAAAAAAATCTGAGCCCGGCAGCTGTGCCACAGTGGTTGAGCACTGACCCATGGACCAAGAGGTCGCAGGTTCAATTCCCAGTCAGGGCACATGCCCAGATTGGGGGCCATGCAGGAAGCAGCTGATCAATGTTTCTATCCCTTTATCTCTCTCCCTTACTCTCTCTCTAAAATCAACAAAAACGTATATATATACGTAACTGGGTCTAGACTCTAGATCTTCATGTCCAGTTGCTGCCAGCTCTTCTTTCCTCTACCCATATGAAAAATACTTTCCTTTTGCAGCTGGCCCAAGCCTAAAATAACCTGCCTTAAACCCTTTTTTATTATATTACAGAATAAATGGTAAATTGCATAATTTAGGATAGGATCTTTAAACACCAACAACTTGAAGACCTGTCTTCAATCTGAGTGTGAAAAGTACTGAAACCCCTTAAAATGAAATTCTAGAGTAATGTCTCACAAACTTTTATGATAATTTACCTAAGAACTTTTGAGAGTTCTCCAAGAAGATCTTTCTTTTCCTTGGTGAGATCCCCCTGTGCCCGAAGTGCACTGATAACTCCAGCATATGCCTCCAATTCTAGAAGAAGAAAATTATTTTATCAAGAAAGGCCTTCAATATTTTAATACTGTGGCTACATATAGTAAAGCTTCAGGGGAAGAAATCTAAAAATCGATCTTAAAATATCAATATACAAATATTTTTTTAAATTCCTCTCAAAAATTTTATCTAATAACATAGATTAAAATGTAGCTTTTATAATTTTATATCACTTTCTTTTTACTGCCTCAAGAAGTCATGTATTTATAATATGGAGGTAGAAATTCTAACGGTAGCCGAAACCAGTTTGGCTCAGCGGTAGAGCGTCGGTCTGCGGACTGAAAGGTCCCAGGTTCGATTCCGATCAAGGGCATGTACCCTGGTTGCGGGCACATCCCCGGTAGGGGGTGTGCAAGAGGCAGCTGGTCGATGTTTCTCTCTCATCGACATTTCTACCTCTCTCTCTCCTCTCTGTAAGAAAAATTAATAAAATATATTTTAAAAAAATAAGAAAAGAAAAAGAAATTCTAACGGAAAATATTTTGTCTCACATATTATCACTAAAGGACATTTAACTCAGATTACTACCAACAACTGGAAACAGACTCTAAATAATCTAATAAGGGTGATAAAGAAGGTTTTAACATTACTGAAAGGTATCTTCACCTCTAATCCTTGAAATAATTCCTTAGGCTCGCTTAAGAATTCAAACTATAGTCCACATACCTCCTTGATAGTTGAGAGTACTATTGAGTACTGTGTAACTGAAAAACTACTGGAACAAGAGTCAAGTGGCCAGATTCTGGCTCCAACACTGCCTCTTACAAGTTGTATGACCTTGGGCAAGTCCTTTCTCATCTCTGAGCCCCAGTTTCTTTATCCAAAAGAGACTTTGAAGGGCCTGGCCAGTGTGGCTCAGTGGTTGAGCATCAACCTATAAACCAGGAGGTCTTGGTTTAATTCCTGTCAGGGCACATGCCCAAGTTGCGGACTCAATCCCCAGTGTGAGGTGTGCAGGAGTAGCCAATCAATGATTCCTCTCCTCATTAATATTTCTCTCTCTTCCTCTCCCTTTCTCTATGAAATCAGTTAAAAAAAAAAACAAAAAAAACCAAACATATATATATATGACTCTGAAGGTATCTTCCAGATCTAAGAGCTTCTCCAAGCTATAAAAACAACCATCAAAATGATTAAGGCAGATTAGGAAACATGAATTACTCTTACAGGACTTAATACTACCAACACAGCAACAACCCTTATGATAAAACTGTCAATCCCTGGAACTAGTAAAACCAAAAAGTCCTCAATGGCTCTCAATGAACCATGCCTCTCCCCAGATTTGGCATGTGACTTGCGTTAGCCTTTAAAACCAGCATATGTGATGCAAGCTGACAAGCACACAGAGCCTGTCTCTCTTTGAACTCTGAAATCACCAAGCCATGAAAAAGCCCAGAATGAAAGGCCACATGGAGAGGCTCAGCCATCTCAGCTGAGCCCAGTCAACCAGCTAAACTACCAACTGAAAACAGCCAAATGGAAGAGCTCAGACAAGACCAGCAACCCAAAGAATCTTGAGAAATAATAAAATGGTTGTTTTAAATCACTAATGCTAGAAGACAGGTAGCTGGGTAAAACAAAACGATGGGAAATAAGTGCCCAGGCTAAAGTTATCTCCTTACTAAATTCAATTTGCTACCAGTATTTGCCACAAGCCAATGCCTGACACAAAAGACACTCAAAGTTAGCCAAATAATGAAAGCAAGGATACTTGCATCCTTAGCACTTATATCAATAATAAACTAATAGCCTCCTTCAGTTCATATTATTCACAGTTCGAATTGTTTAAAAAAAAAAAAAAAAAAAAAAAAAAAAAAAAAAAAAAAAAAGCTTTATATGGAAAGCTAAGCTGACTGTATTAGATAGAAATCTCTGGACCAAAGGAATTATCCCAGTTGTAAACATCCTGCATGTCCACTCTGTGCTGGATACAAGATCAATGTTTCACCAGGTCTCTCTGGACAAACAAGGCTCTGGAATAGTGAAGGAAATACTTAGCTCCAGAAAACATATTTTAGCTATTATCAGGACCCAAAGTAGAGTTCAGAAAAACTCTAGGATAACCAGCTAAGAAATCACTGCACTCTAAATGTTTATGCCCCTCTTATGAAATATTTCATGCAACAAATCAATATTGAGTCCTATTATATATATATATATACACCAGACAGTATGCTAAATCCTGCCATCAAGGAGTTAACTCTAGAATATAGCTACAGTGAAAAAAGTCATCAGCCGAAACCAGTTTGGCTCAATGGATAGAGCTTCGGCTTGGGGACTGAAGGGACCCGGGTTCCATTCTGGTCAAGGGCCTGTACCTTGGTTGCGGGCATATCCCCAGTAGGGGGTGTGCAAGAGGCAGCTGATGGATGACTCTCTCTCATCGATATTTCTAACTCTCTATCTCTCTCCCTTCCTCTCTGTAAAAAATCAATAAAATATATATTTAAAAAAAAAAAAAAAAGAAAAAAGTCATCAGACAATTATGATACAATTATGATACAGTGTATAATAGAGTGGTAGGGGCACAGAGGAGAAACACATCATCTAGTCTGGAAGCATAGGTTTTAATCAGAAGATAGCTGTGCTCCAGGCAAGCAGAGGGGAAAAAGGCAAGTGTGCAAAAAGAACAGAGAATAAGACAGCAGGTAATGTTCCATACAGACATCAAACTTCCACTAAGTCAGTGACTACTTTGAGAGTTTTACACTAGGGGAAGTAAAAATATGTCTGTACTTGCATAGTCAATAATTCAAACCAAACTAATAGTTGAACATTACTACTACAAGGCACCATGGAGAATATTTACATAAACAAAACGAATTCCCTATCCTCAAAAGGATTAAAATCCAACAAGGGGTGTATGTAAGGGAATAGAGAAGGAAAATGGAAAAGTAGTTTGGTGCCAGACTAAGAAAAGCCTCAAATTCCAGTCTAAAAGGTTCTTATTTGCTAGGACTCAGTAACTGAATGTGGAAAGAATTGTTTTGCAGTTTACAAGACATTTAGGAGAATGTCAATATCATAAGAAATGGAGAGGTCAGAGAAAAGTGGTTTGAGGAAACAGAAAAAAAAACTGACTTTGGGGCTCTGGAATTTATAGTGATCAAGACACTACTTCAAAAAGAGTGAAATTAACTAAAGAAATGTGACAAATATTTTTGACATATCAAGTCTCACTCCAAAGTCTAATTAAAAAGTCATGCACAAAAGTAAGGTGGCAACCTCACAAAATACTGGGACTCAGGACAGTTACCATAGCTACAAAATCAAAGGCCCCTCCTCGCCTTCTCCAGAAAGTCACTCATTGTAAAGAACTTTTAATAGCTTCCCAACCTCCTTCACATTTATTGATTTCCATTTTGATGGGTATCCTCAGATCCTGACAAATACCAATTTCTGACATTAATTTTGATGTCATTCTATTATAGTGTTAACTTTAATGATACATAAGTATAATGAAATGAAATAATAAACACATGCAAACGCCACAAAAAAAAAAAAAAACCCAAATGATTTACCATACCATTTTTATAAAGTCCTCAACCCATTCCCTTCAAAGAAATCAACAATTCAATTATATTATTGTCCATAAAGCCTCTGTTAAGAGTGATAGCTCAAGAATTTGCATTTATATATAGAGGCCCCATGTTCATGCACTTCGGGCAGGGGGGTTGTGGGGGTCCTCTCAGCCCGGCTTGCACCCTCTCACAGTCCAGGAGCCATTGGGGGATGTCAGACTGCTGGCTTAGTCAGACATGCTTAGCGCTGCCACAGAGGCACAAAAGGCTCCTTGCGAACTGCTCCTCTTCATTATTTCAGCTATGAAACAAATACAAGCCTTACTTTATAGTTGCTAGAAATTACAGCAACTGCATGTAAGTGTAGAAAACCATCCTTAAATTAGTATTACAAGTTTGGATATAAAGTTAAAGGAAAATAAAGATAAAAGAATGACTGACCAAAGACAAAAACAAACCAACTGTCTAGTTGTACTAAAACACAATGCTAAGTTTTTAAAATAGAGAAATCTTCATAGTGGCCTGAAGGGAAATAAAAACAGCCAAAGTTATTAACAGGCAGAGTAAGAGCAGCTATGATCAGATTTATACATAGGAATTCCTGAGAAACATTTCTTTTAGAGAAAAGGTTCTGCCCTAGATGGTTTGGCTCAGTGAATAGAGCATAGGCCTGCAGACTGAAGGGTCCCAGATTTGATTCCAGGAAGGGGCACATTTTGGGTTGCAGGTCCAATCCCCAATGAAGGGTGTGCAGGAAGCAGCAGAAACAATGATTCCCTCTCATCATTGATGTTTCTTTCTCTCTCTCTCTCCCTCTCACTTTCGCTATAAAATAAAAAAATATATTTAAAAAAAATCACAGATTCATCTGCAAAAAAAATGTCTAAAAGTTGTTTTAAAATACTGTATGCTCAGATGTCAAGCCCTGTTACAGGCCCTTTTTATATGCAGTTAATCCATATAACAAACTTATGCAGCAGATATTGTTATCCTTCCTTTACAAAAGTGCTAGCAGATTTAGGGAGAATAAATAACTTGTCCTTGATGTAATAGAACCAAGACCCCAAGCCTGTCTGAATTCAAGGTCCACACTTTCCTGTCAAAATCATAGATACCTAAATAATTCGTATCTACTGCCAAAACATTTAATGTTCTTTTCAAATATTTTTTCATTTACTGAGCACCTACCTATGTGCTAGCCTGAGACTACAGTGGTAAATGAGACAACAAGGTCCTTCTTCTACCTTGCAGTCTAAAGCAGCATTTCTCAACCAAGGATCCTCATTTGAACCACAAAATACAGAAAATTATTTGAATTGCTCTTTTTCTCATAACTAATATCATTCTGGATACATAAGAAGTTAGTTCATTATATACAACAGATAATTTAGTATTAGGGCTTAAGTCCCTAAATGCTAGTTGAAAAAGGCTGTGCTAACGGAAAATATAATAAACAAGAGGTCTGGTGCACAAAAACCCATGCACTTGGAAGGGCCCTCAGTCCAGCCTGCACCCTCTTGCTCCCCAGGAGAGTTGGGCCTAAGCTGGCAGTCAGACATCCCTCTGGCAGCCAACCTAATGGCTTAGGCCCCGCTCCCTCAGCAATTAGGTCGGACATCCTTAGGGCTGCCATGGAGACGGGAGAGGCACTAACACCACCACCACCACCACCACCACCACCATGCTGTCCAGCCATGAGCCAGCTTCTGGCTGAGCAAAGCTCCCCCTGTGGAAGCGCACTGACCACCAGGAGGCAGCTCCTGCATTGAGCGTCTGCCCCCTGGTGATCAGTGCATGTCATAGCAACTGGTTGTTCCCAGTCATTCTGCTTAGGATCAGTTTGCATATTACCCTTTTATTATATAGGATTACTATGTAATTCATTACAACCACAAATGGTATTTTATTACTGATAGTAAAATATAATTTGGGAAAGACAGCATAGCTTACATTAATTTACAATCCAGAAACAATATGTAACTCACATATACATTCATGAAGGTTAAAAGTATGCTAAAGTGAGACAGGAATCATATTCCCCAGGTTGAAATACTGACTCCAGGACTTACTAAAAGCATTATCTTGAGTTCTAAGCTTCAGTTATATCATCTGTAAAATGGGGACAAAAAAAAAAATACCTCCTTTTTTAGTTTGAGAATTAAATAAGAATGTAAAGAACTCAGAATAGCCCAGTATCCCTCAAGAATTCTTAGTTGTTATGATTATTATGATTCATGTACCTACTATGTACAAAGCACTATGGTAGGCACTGGAGAAATAACAATGAGTAAGACGAGAACAATACCACTAAAGAATTTCTAATGTAGCAAGAAATATGTCATCCCTGCAAACAGCCATGATCCAAACAAAAAGAGAAAAGTATCACAGAGGCATAAAACACCAAAAATGAAAAGCATACCCAATTTTCGAAGGATCCTTTTGCATTCATCCCTGCTGAGATCCAAAAGGGTTGGCCACACAACAGGCATTGCTGCTTCTTTTTGGTAGCCCCAAAGAGCTTGTCTTTCCTACCAAAACAAAACAAAAAATCAAATTACCAAGTACATTCCAAAGGACACTCACCTGGAGCTCCACCGGCTGGGAAGAAAAACCAACAAGAAGAATATCTCACAACCACTCTTTCACCGCCACACTTTCCAACTTCTGACAAATAAATAACTAAACGATCATTTGGGAGCATACCACTCCAGCTTATGACTGGAAAAAGCACAGGGCAAAGAGTCAGTCAACCGTACGTAAACTCTAGTTCCGTGTTTCACTTTACTGCCTGTGTGATCACGGCAAAACTGGCCTATCTGAGCATACCTTTTACACATTCCTAAAGCAGAGGTATCATGCCCTGGTTTGTGACGAGGATTAGAGAACTGTGTATGTGAAGTTATCATCGTGGCTGGTACATTACTTAATAAACAGGCACTACTACCTTGGTGACCTTGGACAAGTTACTTGATTTCTGTTGGCTTTTTCACTTATGAGTTACATGAAACAAAAATATGTAAAAACTCCTAGCACCATACATGGCTTAATGGAACTTAAGAACTTTTCTCCTCAATCCTAACAATGAAAGATGAGTGCACACCCTGTCGTCTTTAGCCAATTACAAAAAGTTTAGATGCTAGGAACTTACTTGGCAATGGGAATTCCCTAAGCTGGAAGATAAAAAAACAAAACAAAACAAAACAAAACACACGGAGCTGGGCACTTGTGCAATACCTGCTGAGCACACAGTGGGTCCGCTGTAAATATGTGTTAAGTAGACAAATGAATGACTGAGAAGAGTGAACTGAATGAATGAGTGAGTGAGTGAGTGAATGAATGAATGAGTGAATGGATGAATGAACGAACGAAAGAACGAGCGAGCGAGCAGCTCCCGGTCTGGTCTAGGAGTCGGGCACCGAACCCTGAGGACAGTTACATCCCGTTCCAGGCGCCGAGGCTGCGGACTCCCAACAACTCCTCGCCCGGAGTGGAGGTCCCCCTCCCCCTACTTCCCATCGTCCTCTCAGCCAAGAGCCTCCCCGGAGCGAGGAGAACCGGGCTGCGCGCCCCGGCAGGCAGGATGACAAAAAGGGGTGGGGAGGAGGAAGAAGGGGCCGAGCTACAAGAATCCGCTCCCTCCGCACGCCAGTCCCCGCCCCCGGACGGGATTTTGGAGGCGGCCGGCGACCGGCCGCCGGAATGGGGCACCACCACGTCACGGCATCCCGAGGCGTCCTCCCCGCCAGCGATGCCCCCCGCGGGGCCGCAGCGCCCCGGAGACCCGGGCAGCGGCGGCCGGAGCCTGGTCCCCGCACCGGGATCGCGTGTGATCCTTCCCCGACTCAGGTGTCAAGGAGACCGGCCCGCCCCGCCCCCTCCCCAAACATGCACTCTCGGCAGCGCCGCCAGGGTGGCCAGCCCACCCTCCTCCTCGCCGCGGCCGGGGCGCCGCTCGCTCGGCGCCGACCCCAACCCCGAGCCCGCGACCCGAGCCTTTCGGGTCCAGGAGCCGGTGTCAGGGGCCCCGGGCGGCCAAGCTCGGCGCTTCTCCGCTCCCTCCTCGGCGGAGAGGATAACGAGGAGAGAGGGGAGGCGCGTGGACAGCCCGGCAGGTGACCGAAACTCACCGGGAGGCTCCCTGGGCTGGAACCCCAGATCGCCCAGCACGAGGCCTGCCAGAGTCCCCCCTCAGCCCACCTCGGGAACCCAACGATCCCGTTAGGAGACAACGGAGGATGGGGCTGGGCGCCCCGAGCCGGGCTCTGCATGCTCAGCCCAGGGCTCCTCCCAGCCTGACTCATCTGCCAGCTCTTCCCGGCACCCTGTCTGAGAGTCACCCACCTGCCCGGCCTTTCGGGGCTCATCTAAAAGGCTCCTCCGCCAAGACTAGGGGGACACCAGGAATTGGGTTTGTTTGCGGTGCCTCAGAAGGGGCAAGATGGCGACAGGTGCCAGGGCGCAGGCGCAGCTGCGCGCTGCCCGTCGGGAAATGTAGTTCGCCTTTCCCGCCTTTGGGAGAAAAGCCCTCTGAAGGCCTCCTTTCTCCCCACTCCTCTTTTCCTCCGCGTTTTGAAAGGAAACGGAGAGACATCGCGAGGGGAGCTGGGAGTTGTGGTCCGAACCCGAACTCTTCGGTCGGCTGCCGCACGCGCAAGGAGGACTGGGATTGTAGTTTTCCTTGGCTTCTCCTCCGTCCCCCTCCGCTCCCCGGCTTCTCGCGCCTTGTCTCCGGCTGCCACCTCCCAGCCAATCAGCTGCGCTCTCTGCTACGCGTGGCGTCATCCGTAGCGGTCAAAATGGCGTTGGCAGCTGGAGCCGAGGTTTTCCCGCGACCTTTATTCCAAGGGAGGTTAGGGCTGGAAGGAGAGCCGCTAAATCCCTGAAGGGACGTGGAGGATTAGGATCAGATTCATGGGAGTCTTGGGAGCAATGATCGGCTGCTTTTAACCTTGCTCCCTTCCCCCCCAAACGCAGCTCGAAGCGTTCATCTGCGCCAGGAGAACCCATGTAGTGGGCAGCACAGGTGGCTTGTACCTGAGCTGGGGGTTGCGAGGTTGCGGAGAAGGGGACCCCTAAGGGTCCTCGAATTCGGGTTTCTCCACCTGTGAAATGGGAATGATAGTGCTGCCTCGTGCTATATCTGTCAAAGGCAAGAAGGGATTTATTTGAGGCCTGATGACCTGGTAGATTCACCCTTTAGCTTTTGTTCTTACAGAGAGTTGTGTGAAGAAGGTACTGTTGTCCCTGTTTTACAGATGAGTGATAAGGCCTCCCTTCCCCCAAAGAGAAAAAAGGACCAATATACGATTCTTCGCGGCCATAAAATCGAAGTCAGTACCTGGAATTGAAGATGTAGTCAAATTTTGTGATTGCCCTCCCTCTTAAATTTTGTACTTTTGGAAACATAGGTACTGGTAAAAATAAATAAATAAATAAATAAATAAATAAATAAAATAAAAGTTCACGTCAAAGAGGTTTTCAATATGCTTTTTTTCCTTGGGGGAAAAAAAAGGGGGGGGGGGGGGGTGGTTAGTGCTACCCAGTGGGGTTGTTGTGATAACATAGAAAAAAAAGTTATTTGTAAATTGTGGACACTATACAAATGTGTGAGACTGTCCCATGTTCTTGAATGGTGCTGTAGGTTAGAAAGAGAAAATAAGTAACACCACTTAAGTTTTCTACTATTTTCCCATTAGCTGGAAATACTCTGAGGTCCGGGAAAATGGTTACTGTAAAACCCACGCCTGCCCCTTCAGACAGTCATAAAGTGGGACAAGAAACCACCAGCCCTCCCCCCTTGCTCTCTGTGATCTTTCAGTGCAGTCTCTTCCATCTATTTCCTCCTGTTTTCAGTCCTATTACTTAAGACTCTTGGAAAGATGATAAATGAAACCTTAATAGATTGTAGTTTAAAGTACATTCTTTAAATAAATAAAGTACCTTCTTTGAATTGAGCCTCATAGTATCGCAATGAGGCAGGTATAATTAAGATTCCTCCATTCAATGAATGAGAAAAACACATATTCAAGAACTTTCCCAATATCACAAAGCTGGGATTGGAAGGGAGCTTGATAGATCCTCCCTTCCCCCAGATGGACAGAGAATGAAGTAAACTCCACCTGCACCTGGACATTCCTGAGTGCCTAACAAGGCACCATATATGGACTATACATTGAACCACCAATCAGCACCTGCCAAATACTCTAAGCCCCCCCCCCATTCCTACGTCCCTAATCACATGCCTTACATGAAACCACCAATCGGTGTGCGCTGAATGCCCTAAGCCCTGTCCCTTCCTTTTCCCCCTCTTTTCTCCTTGGAAGGCAGCCGGGCAGGGGTATTCTCCACCAATAAAGCCTGTGTCCTGGGTCCTAGTCTCCGGCTCCTCTGTTTCATCTTTTAGAACTGGGCTTTATAACGCCATGTCTTCTGGTTTCCAGGTGTCTTCCTCCACAACAAATATCAAGGTGACAGGTAGTGGAGTAGAAATGGAAAGACAAGCTGTTTATAAAATCAACCCTGACATTATAAGTAGCATATTAGTCAAGAATTACAGCTTATGAGGTGCCAATATTGTCCTAAACATTTCACATATTAATTCATTTAGTCCTTAATTTTATGAGGTAGAAACTTCGAAGAAGGAAATGGAGGCATAGGAAGGAGATGAAATAGCTTGTCTTTTAAAAAAAAGGAAACAATTTGCACATAAACCAATACACACACACACACACACACACACACACACACACACACACGCAGCTTGTCTAAGGCACGCGTGATAAGTAAACCTAAGGATTTAAACCTAAGAAGAATCTGCTCCAGAATCTGCTCTAGACCAGTGGTTATCAAACATTAATGTTCAACAGGAACCACTTGAGGATCTTGTTAAAGTGCAAATTTAGATTGAGTAGGTCTGGATAGGACCTAAGATCCTATATTTCTAACAAACTTAAGTGATGTTGATGCTCTAGCATCAAGTACCTATAATCTATCACATAGCCTCCCTTTCCTCCTAGCCATATTTGTCTTTTGTAGCCATGGCCTTCCCGATGCTGCCTCTGACTGCACCATATTTCCAGAATTAAATTACCTTCCTTAAGGATCAAACTTCACCCTCAAAAAGCTAACAATGCCCCTACCCTTCTTTCAAGGATGAGACAGGCATTCCCATCTCTGCTCCTACATCACTTACTATACATCTTGTTACAGAACTCAAAACACTGAGTTACAGTCATTTGAGTGATTTGAGAAGAGAGACCAGATCTATGCACACTAGTGCCCAGCATAAGAATAATAGCTAATACTTTTCCAGAGCCTTCTCTAATCCAAATGCTAATACATACATTAACTTGTTTAATCTCCACAATATGAGAAACAGTATTATCCCCATGTATGGATGACGAAGTGTAGAGATTAAGTCATTTGCCTAAGGTAACAAGCTAGTAAGTAGCAGAGCCATGGCTTCAAGCAAAGGTACTTTGACTTCAGG